GATAACCCTTTAAATGGTTTGAGGCATTGTTTCGATTTTTTATGCTCCTCTTCGAGCATACAGTCGCCGTTTCTCCCTTCCGTAGGTCATTCTCTCTTTCCTCGGGTTTAGCCTTTTCACTTCATATTTCAATTATCATTTATATAAGTAGATATAAGTAGATACTTTGAATTATCCATTAAATCAAAGTGGAGTTTAGAGTTAGTGAGATCATGGTCGGTATTGCCTAAAAGATATATATTTTTCCCGTACATATTTTATATCTTTCGTATTTAGCAAGTAAGTACATTCGGTTGTCTTCTTATTTAGGTGAGGTTTTAGATCACTAGATGATTGTCACCAAAACTTTTTTTATTAAGTTTGTATTATACTTTTATTTTTATTATTTCTTTATTTATTTACCAATGTCTTCATATTTAACCGACAGATACTTTTAATGGTTCTCTAACTTTAGACAGAGTAAGGGGTCACGGGAGTCAACGTCAATGTCATCAGTGATAAAATAGCTTTTTACACTTTCTAAACCTGTATTTTTTTCCCGTTGTTCATTGAAATACATTGACAAATTTGCAGGTTCGGAGGGTAAAGGCCCATCGTTTTTAGCGAAATATTTTGACAATTTTATAAACATTATTAAAATGTGGCTTGTATAGAGTTGTTTTACTCATGCTTTTTTTTTAAGTTTGCATAACAAAGAAGAAGTTTTGTTTGTTTGTTTGTTTTGGGTTTTACGTCACAGTGACACAGTATAGGTCATATCGCGACGTTCCAGCTTTACTGTTGGAGGAAGACCTCAGGTGCCCTTCCGTGCATTATTTCAGACACAAACGGGCATCTGAGTAGAACCACCGGCGTTCCGTAAGCTAGCTGGATAGCTTCCTCATATGAAAGAATCCAAAGTCACTGTCGGGATTCGAACCCACAGCGGTGAGGGGCAAGTGATTTGAAGTCAACGACTTAAACCACTCGGCCACGGACGTCCGAAAGAACAAGTATCCTAAAGAAAACGCGTTCAAATTGGCCTAAGATATCATAATATCTGGTAAAAATATAACTTTGACATCATTCTAAAAATAAATAGTTACAGGCTCAAGAGCATAATCATTTTTTAAGTTTAATAATATTTTATTGCTCTTTGCTTACAATTTAAAAAACATTATTTTCACAAAACAACAAATGTCAAAAGGGTTGAACAACAAGTTTTAGCAACATTAGTCACTGTCTTTCACTTATGCAATATACGATATAGAAACGAAAACATGTTTAAACACTAAACGCATTAGCAAATACAAATGTTAAGACGGATACAAAAATAAAGTAGCAAAAGGAATTTGACATTAAATGTAACAGAATAAAAAAATGCTTATCATTTTTTTGAATATTAAAAGAATTATCATTTTCATGCATTGTAGTATGAAATGGCTGTCAAAATATGTCATTTATAAGGGGAATTAGATGGATTAAATTGGAACAATGATTGTTAATTTTACATTTTACTTATTTTTTAATATTTAAATCTATGTGTATTTTTTGATATTTTTGAACCTCATGAAATAGAAAAGAGTTTTCCTCGTCTGATAAATTTTCTTTCCATAAAGGAGAGTACTTGTACTTAATGGATTAAATAGGCGAGTGGAAGAGAAAAGTTGGAGTCTTTGAACGCCAAAAAGTTTACAATTAAAAAAGAAATGTTCAGCATCCTCCTCGATATTGCAACACTCACAAACAGCGGAGTTTGCTAAGTGATTTCTATACAGATTATCATTCAAATTACTGCATCTATTTCTTAAGCGTGCATGATAAACAGATGTTAATCTTTCTCCAATTAAATAATATTTAGGGACAAGTTATCCTAAAGTTTAGAAATGAACGCATTAAAGAAGGCGAGTCACGTATATCATTATCCATGCCGAAATTAATGAGGGTATAAATGATCTAGAAAATATTTCTGTTCGTCGTGCTATTGTCACGTAATAATCGTTATTTCTAAGGTTTTATTGGTTACTTTCTGATACAAAATTTAGAAACCAAGTGTCCAAATAACTTGGAAGCTCCTCATTTTTAGCTTTATAAATTGATAATATATATTGATAATTTTTGCATTAAACGGCGATCTGCTAAAAGAGACCCAACCTCTTTTTATAGACACTGAGCGAGTCAAACTAGTAACTAAGAGCGCAACTTCCTATTGCATGTTTTCATTTTTTTATATCAGGTACAACTGTCCCAGATACCACTAGCATATTCTAATAAAGGCCTCATGTAAGAAATTAAAATTTTATTTAATGTTGTTCTATTTAATTTGAACTCTAATAAACGCATAGAACCTAATATTTTGGACGCCGAGTTAGTTATATTATTAATATGTTCATGCCAAGTTCTATTATCACTTAAGGTTTATCCAAAGCCTTTGGTGTTGAGTGTAATTAAGTTGAATATTGATTAAGTACAAAAAGGTCTTTCATTTCTTTTAAGAGAAAAAAAATACTCCTGTCTTATTAGGATTAAAGGTTACAAGCCATTGGTCTGCCATATCAGTAATAGTTTTAAGATCATTTCTATCAATTTTAGATCATCGTTTGTTACTGATAAAGAAGACGAGTCAAACTAAGTACGTTTTCAGCAATGTCATTAACATTTATTAAAAAGGGAAGAGGACCAATAATCGGATGTATATCTCATAATAATATACTTTAGCAAATATGCATGCATAAAAATTTTGTCTGTAATTAGTACTTATTAAATATGTAACCTGAACGCCACAGTATCCGTATGGCCCTAGAAACCTCTGGCATTCGCTTTTGATATCAGCCCACTTCCACTCAAACAAATGAACTATGGAATCACGACCGGATGCGCAATGCGGGTCACTGTATGGACCGGCTACCACAGCTAAAACATGAAACATCACCGAAAAGAAAATATACCTGCATTTGACTGTTTTTTTTGTTGATATCAATTAAGATGAATCAGAAACTGTTCTTATGTGTTGACATAGATTTATTGAACAATCAAACATTTAACTGTTTGTCAAAGTTCATCCATAATCCATCAATCTGATTAAAATTAGCTCTAAACGACGCTCCGCTTTAAGATCTAACAGTGACCAATTACGAAGTTATTTCTGGTGATCTTTCAATCAGCTCTCATCGGCGAGCTATCATATTTTTGAAAGCCTTGCGGTTCTAATTTTGACCCTGGGAAAACCAATGCTGAGTAGAAAATTTTCACGATTTCGAGAACAAACTTGTCCATATAGCCGACAGGTAAACTGGCTAAACAATCTTGCCAATTAAAAATTGACTTTATTATTTCAAGTTTTGTCAAAAATTACTTCAAACAATTTTTTTCTAACAAAAATCTAACAATTTCTTTATTTCAATAACGGTATTTTGATACTATGTAAAAACCGGTTTGATAACATGACTAAAACTAGCTTTCTCAGGAAATCCGAATTATAAAGAAGTCGAAACATATACGGTCGTAATCAGATCTACAGAAATAGGTAGATCTGAACTTAAGTCAGATTGCATAACCCACTATATTAACAACCTCATCGATTTCATTTTTTTTTTTATATATTTTAAAATTTTAAACTTCTCTCTAATTTACGACGAATTAGGCACACTTCTACGCAATCATTCAAAATTTAATAATTCAAACAGTTTAAAAGATAGAGAAAATATTACCGTGCGGAACAATTACAGTAAAAAAATACAGAAGCGAAAATGAACCGTATCTCATCATCTTCAAAATGTCAAAATGAACTGACAAGTTTCTTTCAAGCGATGAAGCTATAAAGTTAGTTTACGGAACGTCGGTGATTCTCCTCATGTGCTCGTTCGTGCCTGATTGTGCAGAGGGGCACCTGAGGTCTTTTTCCACAATAAAGCTGACAATGTTACCATACTCGTGTAACTGCGACGTTAAACACGGAAACTTAACAAACAAAACAACCAATATAAGTTCAATTTCATTCTCAGCAAAACTACATGTGAAATAAAAAGAGTTTCATCAAATCAATGATTTAATAGGGCTTATATTTATTTTCTCACACGTTTTTTTAAAGGAGGTTTCAATAAAAGGGACTGCTCCTCCTCCTCATTTTTTTATTTATTTTTATTTTATTTTTTTTATTTCTAGAGGGGTCACCATAACGTAACTGGAATTGTTCCAAGAGCTTTATATCGTTTGGTGTAGATGCTTATGAATAATATGCGTACAAATCATTTACTTAATAATTCCAGAATAATCATTTTGTATTGATTGTGCAAAATGACCAGAAAAGTGGTTTGTTATGTTACTCAAATCGGGCTAAAAGTCGTACTAAATATCGATTTACCATTTAATTCTGAGTACATATCTTGAACAATCTTAATCTTTTCCATATTTCCTATTTAAAGTGTCCTACTATGTGTTTAGCTACTCTTAAGCTACTTTGATATCGTACTTCTTTTTTAGGCATATAACAAAATAAAAATGACAAATTACTTTGAAGTTTTGTTTTAAAAAAAATCTTAAATGTGTGACAGTACAATTTATTAAACATTCGTGTATAGATCATATAATTGATGGTTCATTTATAATTGTAACATGCACTAAGTATTATTTAGGTATTTTGTGGTACTTTTCTTGAGTCTACAATTAGATAATAATGTAAACTTTAATTTGTCTTTGTAGTAAATGTTGTTGATTTTATTCACTTGGTACGTTATACCAAAATAGGTTTTGAGACAGATACCCTACGAGTGTTTGCAATACAATGTGAACGGTTACTGCATGAGGTGTTGAGAGTGGTGGATCAAAGTGATTGGATAGGGTAAGTGTGGGATAGTGTCTGTTACCAAATGTCTGTGGGACTTGCGGCTTTGCACTGATGGTAAATTTATCGGTACAAAGACAGGCCAACTTTAAAATAGATTATGAATGTTTATAAATAGTGATATGACACGAATATTCGTGACATTTTCTTTTCAGTTACCATAGAAATACTACAACACTTTGTAATTTTTTCACAATTTTATATATGAATCGGGTCAAATAAAAATTTATTTAAACATATCATAAATTACATTTTGAAGTTCATCTATGTTGTGACTTTCTTAGGACTGCCCACTTTTGCACCTAAAACAACAACAAAAAACGCTTATCTAAAAGAAGAAATAAGTTAACAATCGTGTTGCAAGTCTACCTGAAAATAATTTGAAAGAAAATGCTTAATGAAAAGAATGCCTAAGTTGTTTTAACGAAATTACTTAAAGATTTTTGTGTTTATATATTTATCTTCTGGCTTAATGAAAACAAATTGGCTGTCGTATGAAATTGCTAACAACTTTTATTATGACAAGTGCATGTAAGATGTTAAGTTAAATCTGATATGAAATGAAATTACTATAATAAATAAATAATACTTGTTCAAGATTTATGTAAAATACTTGCCAACATGGATAGCGACCATAGGGTCGTCTGTGTGACCATTTACGTTGATATGTGCATTTCCGCTTCCATCAACGTGAATTGTCTTTCCAGTGCACGAGCCATTGTCATAATTTCCACTGATTACGTCACAATAACTTCCAGACGGAAGTCCAGTATAAATATTACTATTTATAGAACTTCCGTCACCAACAAGTGCGATGAATCCTTTATCCCCTCGTGAAAAGGAAATGGCCTGATTACCGTACGAATGGAAATTATTCAGAGGCGTGCCGGCGACAACATTTCGGAACGCAACCATATTATAAACTTCACGCCATCTGTGCTCGCACACCTTCAAATACACATTAGTATCAATTATGAAATTCTAAGAGGTATGTTGCTTTCATTTGAAAAATTCATAGAAGGTATGTCCGATAACCTTACATTCTAATCAAATTTGCAAATACATGTAGTGGGTTGAGTAAGGCTTTAATTTTGAAACAATAAATGTGCTTAACAGTTTCCTTATTTAACAACAAAAATTTGTCTTTAACTAAAAAACCATGTTATCGGCAATCAGTCAGAAGCATACCAACGACATTATAGTGGTTTGCCCTCCGGATCACGACAGTATGCACCAGAGCACAATTAAGTCACCGTATCGATCAGGACAGGCTGCTTACCAGTACTAGTGTCTTTATTTTCGCATAGAATCGATAAGTTTTGTACACGCCAGAGCAGAGGTAAAGTGCGAATGACTAAAGAAAAGATTTCACAACGAACATGACCTGCTCCGTCAAGAAATCGATCCCCAGTCCACCGTTTGAGCTTATTGGACGGTTATGGTTATGGTAAAAATGTATATATGTAGCCTATTGAGCTAACCAGACGGTTGTGCTTATAATAACTAATTCGCGTCATAAACACATGTATATTAATGTTATAAACTGAATTAGCATGTACGAGGGTATTTCAATAAGTTCGTTGAAGTCACAGATGGTTTCAACATTTATTTCCACTAGAACCACCTTTACCTCAATGCATCTGGTCCAATTTCCTTTTAGGCAGTATATGCCTTTCAAATACTAGTACAATTCATCTGTTTTGACCCCAAACCGAGCTTGTGTTGCAGCATTGAGTTATCATTGCCCTGAAATCTCGTTCCACGCAAGTGGGACTTCAAATTTAGAAACAGAAGATGATCATTTTAGTCCATGTCTTGACTGGCGGGTGATTTAAGTGCTCATACTTGCACTTACGAATGAACGTGTGAACTATGGACTTGTGCACAGGGGCATCATTCTTCAAAAGGAATGACACCGGCAGTTAGATCCCCCTTTAGGTTTTCATTTATAGCAAAACTTAATTCTTCAATAAGACTTGCAAAGTATTATGTTATTGAAGTACCTGCAGGCATGTAATTTATCAATATATTTTGAGTCCCAAACACCCGTGGCTATAAACTTGCCTTAGAATTTTCTAAGGTTTACGCTGCTTATGCTTGAACTCTATTTTAGTATCTTGGTATTGTGAAGCAAAGTGTTGCTGGGTCATGTGCGGGTTGCGTTCATTGAACGCTGCCTTTCCTTGTTGATCTTTTTTATCTTTTTTTTTCAATAATTATAACAAAATTTGGGCGTTTTACATACAAATGGTATGAAAGAAACATAACTGATATAACTGCATAAATTTCGGAATGTACATAATTCAAAAGGACGAGTAGTACTAATTAAAATGTCAATCTTGAATATCGTAAAATCAAACAATAAGTGGTATACCCAGTCACCAGCGCATGTCATGTCAGAGTTGATAACAACAGACTGTGTGCTCATGTCGGCATTGTGGGGTGGTCCTTGCCAGTTATTTGTGTCATCTCCGCCGTCGAAAGTTCTTTTTTTATCAACACAAGATAGATACATTAAGGAATATAATGTATTAGAATGCAAATTTACAAGAATAGAGTCATCAATAACAAAGTAGTAAAGGTATCCGGCTTAGAATCATTTGACACTCACCGCTGCGTGTTCGAATCCTACAAGGACGTTAGATTCCTCCATGTGATTAAGCAACAGTGTTTTACTTAAGAACACGATCAGACTTAAAATACTACACATATAGGCATTTTGAATTTCGTCATATTACAGCGACACTTTAAGGTAGGCTTAAATGAACACGGATTGTAAAACCCGATTAATCCTAAAATCATTTCTCAAAGGTTTTTTTATGTTTGTGTTCTCAGTTTCAAAAAAAATTCTCATTGACAATATAGCTGAGCCATCCATTACTTCTTTCGCGTTTCTTCAAATAGTATAGTTATAATAGTAAATTAGTATTTTGTATGGAAGTGAAATTACTACTTTGTTTACATTTTGCTATCTTTATGACAATCCACTTCATATTTAGCTATATTTTCAAAAGTCGAAAGTATCTCACATGTTCTAAATCAATTATTACGATTTTATAAAAAAATCTTTATTTCTGAGGCAAAATGAGCTTTAAGTAAAACAATATTAAGTCCTTGTAAATGCGTCTAAAACAATTATTATAATCTAATCACATTGGACCAATTGTTTGTCCGTATTTAAGACCATGGTGTGCATACATAAAGAATTGTTACCTGTTCCAGCGATAACTACTCATTATCCTCGGGAAGCCATAAGGATGAGCAAGCATAAATGCTGTTGCAATTTTCATCGGCTTCGGGTCCCAGAAGGTGATGGGTGCACCTTAAAGATAAAGTCAGTTATATTCACAAAGATACAATTACTAATGTATCAATGGATTGTTAAATTTTAAAACGGATTAAGCGGGCTTTCTTTCTATTATTTTTGATATAATCATTTTAACGGAAAAATCACTTACCGCCACCTCCGTGACCTCTCTGGTTGTCATGGTTACTTAAAAACACAACGACGTCATTTCTACTTGGCATTCCCCACCCTTCACCGAAGTTACCAAGCAACTTTGCTTGATTTGAATTTCGGAGGAAAACGTCAGCTAGCTTAATACCATACACAAAGTTAGTAACTCTCCCAGTATTGAAATATTCGGACATTTTAATTGTTTCACCGCCCTGGTCGATTACCTCTTGAAACATAAACGGTTTCTTCCCGGAGCCAAAAGCATCGCTCCTTAAATTATGAAGTCTAGAAAAGATATTTTCCAGATCTCCTGGCCACATGTGTTTCGCCGCATCAACTCTAAAGCCAGCAACGCCCATATCAATAAGATGATTAAAATACCCGGCAATTGTTTCCCTCACATAATCCTCTGACAGTCGAAGATCTGCAAGTCCAAAAAGTTTACAGTTGCGAACCTCTTCGCGGTCGTTCATATTATGGATTGAACCATCGGTTGTATGGCAATTGTCATGGCCATTGCAGTCTTTACTACTAAAAGGTACACCTGGAAAAGTACAGCTTACACCGTCGAATTGGTCGCCTCCAGTTCCGGTTCCGGTGTATCCGCCGGTCATGTGATTTATAACGGTGTCGACATAAATTCTGTACGATAGAAAAAAATACGTAAGGTGTAAGAGAATAATGGACAACAAGTCAAAAATGTTTTGGTGAAATGCAACGCATTTAATATAGATGCATATTTTTAAACCTAAAAGTTCTTTTTTATATGGAATGATAAGGACAATAATAAAAAGAAAAAAGTTCTACTATTTTTAACCGAATGTCAATATTTTAATGCATGGTTTCCTTTTCGTTTGCTTTCATAAAAAGCTGAATGATAATCTAGCTGAATATCTTCACAAATATGCATTAAAAATATTCATGTGTTAAAAAAAACACCATTTTGAAACAAATTGAGCAACAACATTACGATCATCACCTTACACCGGCTTTGTTGCACGTGTTCACCATGTCCCTAAATTCCTGTTCATTTCCACTTCTTGATATTAACTTATAACTAACGGGCTGGTATCGTTCCCACCAAGGCCGGTTTGGACTAGTTATAACTGCATTCTCGTTCGGGGGCGACACCTACAAAAACATCAGTATGTGCAGAGCATGTACATTTATAATGTGTCTTTCCTTTGAATCATTTGGGGCATTTTTTAAATGTTTATGCCCTTCCGGGAGCATAAAGTCGCCGTTCGACCTTTTGTGTCACTTAATTGAATAGTCCTAATTTACTTACCGATGTCTTCATATAATAGTACGCTTTGATTGTTCTTCAACTTTGAATTGGGAATAGCGTTATCAGGGTCAAAGTCAATATAATCAGTGATAAAAGTAGGTTATTAAACATTTGTTCCTACAGACTGTACATTTACTTATTGAATAGAAATATATTAACTAATGTGCAGGTTCTGAGAGTTTCAATCGCATTTTGCGAATGTTTTGTCTTTTTCTATTAACATCAGGGATTTTTATCCCTGTCAATTTTCAGGGGTCCAATGGATGTAGATTCTGTAATAAATGTGGTCCAACCATTTATACATTGAACAAATCATGGTGTCTAACAACTAATTCCAGCCATTCAACTCCTGTTTATAGATATAGGTAGGTAGGTTAGTAAGTAAATATTTATTAAATTGACAAGTGTGTATGGCATGTATGTAAAGAAAATGTGTATACTGCGAGTTTGTTGTTGTTGTTGTTGTTGTTGTTGTATGTGATGATATGTTACAATTATCTCTCACGTGAGATTATTTGCAGGGTTTGCGAATCAACAAATGAGTGTATTTGTAGAATTTGCGAATCAACTTATGATAGTATTTCCAGAGTTTGCGAACCAACACATAACAGTATTTCTAGAGTTTGCGAAGCAAAGAATATAGATAGGAAAGTAAATATTTCATACTAATATGGCATTGGATATTATAATATCTTTGCATTAAAGCTTATTATTTTCACAGGCTCAATTTATTTACCTGGACGCCACAGTATCCGTATGGCCCTAGAAACCTCTGGCATTCGGCTTTGATATCAGACCACTTCCATTCAAACAAATGAACTATGGAATCACGACCGGACGCGCAATGCGGGTCACTGTAAGGACCAGCGACCACAGCTACAATTAAAGATGTATCAAAAATAAAAACAGCACCGGAAATGAAACAAAAGTATCTGTATTTGATTCCTTTTCTATTCCATAAATTTGGATGAAACAAGAATGGTCCTTATTCGTTGACCAATCAAACATAGTTCATTGTCAATGTATACTATCATATTAACAACCATACTGATTATATTTTTTAAATATCTCAAATGTTTAAATAAATCTCAACTTGATGATAAATTTGACACACTTTTACGCCATTTTTTAAAAATTAACAATCAATCATTTATACAGACAGCAAAAAAGAGAGAAAATATTACCGTGCGGAACAAAAATCGTAAAAAATAATGAAGCGAAAATAAATCGCATCTTTTCGAACGTCTGGAAGAACTGAATGCGTTAATGACCTTATGTAAGTTCTTCTTATCAACCAAAACTTCTGTATTTCTGCCACGACATAGTTGTACTACTTTGAGACCTAATATTGTCCCTAAATGACTGAACTATACTAATTTCAACAGAAATAAACTGAACTACACTAACTTGATAAGGAATAAATGACTACAATTATTTGAATAGTTTCAAACTTTGAAAGTGTAAGTGAAAGGGCATCAAAAGTCGTATGTTTTAAAATTCATTAGATGTCAATTCACATTTTGTTACAATCTGACTAAAGTTCAGATCTACTTATTTCTTCCATGTGGATCTGATGACAACCGTATAATTTTCGCCTTCTTTATAATTCGGATTCCCAGAGAAACTTATTTTTAGCCATGCAATCAAACCGGTTTTTACAGATAGGCATTAGAAGAAGTATATCAGTGAAAAAAAATGTTTGAAATAAGTTTTAACACATTAACTTGAAATGACAGATTCAATTTTTATTGGGCAAGATTGTTTTGACAGTTTACCTGTCAACGTCATAATTGTTCTCGAAATCGTGAAAATTGCCAACTAGTATTGGGTTTCAAACGGTTAGAATTAGAAACTGAAACGCTTTCAAAATAATGAAAGCTCGCCAATGATTGGTTGTTTGAAAGACCACGAGAAGGTGATTGCCTATGGGTGAATGTTACATCCTAATGCGTAGCGTAATTAAGAAGCTGATTATAATAAGATTCCATTATGTTATAGTTTATTTTACAATATAGCATTTATAAACGCAAGTTTCTTTCCTGTGGGGAAGCTATCAAGCTAGCTTTAACGCAACGTCAGTGATCCTACCCAGGCGTCCGTCCGTGATTGAAATAATACACGTGGTGGGGTAGGTGAACACACCCAATGTAATTCTCCATAATCGTTGAAAGTCGCCAAAAGACCTTCACAGTGTTGGTGCGACGTACATCTCACCCAATGAAAAAGACAACCAAAGAGGAGTTCACTTTCTTGAAAGCCAGCCATAATCAAGTATTTTTTTTAAAAAAAAAACAGCTCTCAGTCATCTTAGTTTAGATACTGAAATTTTGTGTCATTTTTTTTAATTAGATCAGATTGTTGTGTATTAATATTAATACTGATTAATAGTAATACAGCAACAAGAAGAAATACAACTTTAACACCAATAGAACCACAGTATGATTGTTTTAACCTTTAAACTTTTATTATGTTTACTTCAGCTTATCATTTGAATACATGCTAATTTTTACATTGAACACTGTGGTGGTTTGACAAGACATGCCGATATGTTTATTTATATTTGTGTACCATTCATTAACAAATGCATCATCCATTATCATGCATCATTCATTACAAATTATCATTCATAACACATGTATCATTCATTTACAAATTTGCAATTCATTATCATGTTTCTTTCATTATATATGTATCATTCATAAACAAATGTATCATTCATTATTATGTATCATTCATTATACGAGTAAAAGTATCATTCTTTACGCATGTATCGTTCATAAAATATGTATCATTCATTAACAATTGTATCATTCATAATACATGTATCTTTCATTACACAAGTAAGGAAAAACTTTTTAAAGGTCACCAGCAAGCAAACGAGTTCGTACTCTGTTGATCTTTAACAACTCACTGTCCGTCAACATTGATTGCTTAAACGCATGCACACTCAGTATAATTACGTAACGCCATCCGTTAAAAAATGTAAATGACGCATTCTTGACATCTTGGACACAAAATAACATATATTCGGTCCCAGTTAGCAGCTAAAACGCATGCGCACTCATTATTTTTCTGTAACGTTATAGGCTGTAGCTAAACGCCTGCGCACTCATTATTGTGTTCTGCAGCTTTCAGGTTGTAAATGTTGATGTTAGCTAAAACGCATGCGCACTCAATATTATTCTGTAACGTTATAGGGTGATGGCTAAAACACATGCACACTCAATATCGTTCTATTAAAGTTTTGGGGTGACGATATTTAAATAACGGCGAGATAAATAAACACAAGAAAACAAAGACAAATACATTTCATATTTTAAATTAATTTTATTGCATGGTTTGAGCATGTGAAGTTTATGTTAACAAAGCCAAAAAATGGATTTCATTATTTATTTTACAAGTACATCGGTCTATGTCGTCACCTTCTTTGGGCTTCAAATCTTTGCACCTGAAAATAGATTGCACTCTATATATTCTTTTTAATTTTAATTGTTTTTATTTGATTTCCTTTTAAATATACACGTGTAGTCTATAGCCGGGCAAGCCAAATCTTTCACTTCCACGTATCATTTTCTACAGATGTCAGTAACTGTTGTGAATGACAGTATTTTCATCAGGAAACTCATAGATAATTAACAAATAATGATATATATTTAATTCTTACACGAATCGAATTTTTCCTATTGAATAAAAAAGAACCAAAAGTGTGTGTTATTATGCAATAGTGCAATAGAATCACTGTTGACGTTCTATATGTAGATATGTGACGTAATCTTAACACATGTGACATAACCGCGCTGAAAATAAGAACGGAAACAAACAAGCGCAATTTTGCTTTATAATAGGTACGGCAGCATTTATTTGTTGATGTCGTGTTAGAATCGAAAATATATATCCAAATCAGTGATTTTATCGCCTGATAACATCACTGTTTGTCGTTCGGATGCGCATCATTGTATCACTCGGGCTACGCCCTCGTGATATAATTCCTCGCATCCGAACTCCATAAAGTGATGTTATTGTGCGATAAAATCACAGTTTGGAATATATTATTTCTTAAATAGATCGTCACTCTGCTTGACAAGAAAGAATAAATATCAACAGCCTTGTATATCTCACCAATATGAATAGCAATCACTGGATCGTCAGCATCACCTTTGATTGAAATATGAGCTTCACCATTCTCTTCGACCCGTATAACTTTACCGCTGCAAGTTCCATTCACGTAATTCCCGGAAATGACGTCACAGTAGTCACCAACCGGAAGTCCTGTGTTTATCGTCTGATTAAGAGTGCTGCCGTCACCAACGAGGGTTACAAACCCCTTGCCTCCCCGTGAAAATGAGATCTGCTGGCCGCCATATGACCGGAAGTTTGTGAGAGGAGTACCAGCAACGACATTTCTGAACGCAACCATATTGAAAATTTGGCGCCATCTATGTTCACATATCTATTAATTAAAAGAATCAAAATTGTGTGGTTCAATATTATTCACTACATGTTTGAGTTGTCTTTTGTGAGATCCCGGTTTTCGACTAACAGTTATAGAATGTGAAGTACCTGTATACACACAACATTTTTATGATATATTCGTGGAATAAACGCGTTATTGTGGGATGAAAAGGATAAAATGACTGCTTCTTTGACTCTGTTCAGGTCAGAGTGGGGGTGTTTTTTTAATGAAAATTTGAAACGTCTTTTCATGTAGAATAAATAAAGAAAGGTATGTGCGATTTACCTGAAATGAAATGATAATAAATGAAACTATGTCTGGGGCATAATGTCATTCAAGTTACAGGTAAATAGTTCGCTTTACACCTTTCTTAAATATCATTTCATCAATTAAGACAATAAATTTGTGGTGCAGATATTGGAGTTAATTAGCATTACACACCCAGCCGTTTCCACATGTCAAGTCAGGATTGATGACAACATCTTTAATACTCATATCAGCGTTGTGTGGTGGTCCCTCCCAGTTGTTCTGTCTGAATGAAAATACACAAGGGAAGATAAGAATGACGAGATCGGAATGATTAAACATATATAAGACAATAAGTATCATGTAATTTGTCTTGTTAAAGGCCCATTTACCCTCAGAAATGAGTACAGGTTTTAGTCTTTAAAGATACATACGTATGTACTATGCTCATGTTAGGGTAAAACACAAAAGATGTTTATTTTACATTTCAAAAGAAACTGTTTAGTAATTATCATTTTTTTTCAAATATTAAATTGAGCATAATATATCTTTATAAAGAACAAACGTGTTTTATCATCTTTTCACATGTCGGATTATCATCACGCGGAGAAAGTTGGACTGAATGTGAAATAAGTTGTCATAATAGTAGCCAAATGTAAAGAAAATGGTATTTTTACTTACATCACTACAACTGTACAAATGTATTTTATTACAAAACGCCAAAATAGCCAAGGATGATTTAGTTTTATTGCCAAGGAGTTACTCTTTTCGAAAATTTAAAAGGACACCAAGAATGAAAGGTTTTCAAATAATAAAAGTGAGATCAACTTTGGAGTTTCATGGGCCTTTAACAATCATACATTCACACCAAACATCACAGAAATAGATAAATCATCGAAAGTACAGAATACGCTTCTACTATTTGAAATGCAAATCGTTTTTTTACATAAATTATGCCCATCAATTTCATCAGTAACTGACGAGTTTTCCCCCTTAGATGTGTACAATTTCGGATATATGTTATTTGTAACCACAATTTTGTACCATTTTGTAACTTAATCTTTCTTTTTTGAATGTTTAACGGCACGTACATTTTTAAAAGTCCGTTTTCTAATTGAAAGAGTTTATAATGTGTTTATTTACCTGTTCCAGTAAAAGCTACTCATAATTCTTGGAAAACCATAAGGATGTGCAAGCATGAACGCTGTTGCTATTTTTAGCTGTTTGGGATGGTAAAATGTAATTGGCTCCCCTGTAACAAATAGTCGTATATCAAAATACATCCGTAAAATGTTTTTATGTTGTCAATTTTTAAACAAAACAAACTCATTTGTCACCTCTATATGACACCAGTTGAACTTTTTTTCGCAATCGAGCCTAAAATTAATCTAAACTATATCAAAGGCTCATTATACTTCAGAAAAAAATGCCTTCCAAAGAAAGGACAAATATGAGTTTTATTTAATTTAAACAATAGTTTTAAAGCATGTCAGATGCATATCACCTTAAGAAAGAAGCGTTGAATGTGAAATTATTTTCCATAAAACTAGTAAAAATATACAAAGTACATGTAGTATATTGACTTCCATACAAAACACTAACTCACTTTAATTGTGTAATGTTTACGGATCTGCAGGAAGCAAAAGATATTTCAGGTAATTGGCCAAAAAGTATTTTTTAGAAACTATAACAGGAAACCAAAAGTAACAATGTTTTCGAAATATGAATGTACCATGGGTAACTTGTATAATTACAGTGTTCTGCACTTTATGTTGAGTAAGAGCAAAGATATTTATAATAATATAAGAAAGGATACTTCTGAATCGGGCAAAAGTGTAGACAGGCCCCGGGGTATGGTCACATTGTACAAATATTTAAAAGAAGTTGGCTTGAAAGTCTTTCACATAAGGAAAAAGGCAATCATTGTAGTGGTTAGATAAATAATAAAGAAACTGTAAAATGTTCTTACCTCCCGCGCCATGACCCCTTTGGTTGTCATGGTTACTAAGAAACACCACTACATCATTCGTATTAGGCATACTCCATCTTTCGCCCCAACTGTCCAACCACTTGGCCTGATTCGAATTATGCAAGAAAATGTCTGCTAGCTTTACACCGTATATAAAGTTAGTAACCCTCCCCGTACCGAAATATTCGGACATTTTTATAGGCTCACCGCCCATGTCAATAACCTCTTGAAAAACAAAAGGTCTTCTGCTTGTCCCAAATACGTCACTTCTAAGGTCATTTAACATCCGAAAAATGATGTGAAGGTCACCGGGCCACATGTGTTTCGCAGCGTCCACCCGAAATCCAGCCACTCCTATATCAATAAGTTTATTCATGTAGTCCACAATTTTACCTCTTACATAGTCTTCGGATAGACGAAGATCGGCTAAAGTAAATAATCTGCAGTTGCGGACTTCTATGGCGTTTCCATAGTTATGAATTGACCCATCACTTGTATGGCACAAGTCAGGGCCGTTGCAGTCCCCACTACCGTATGGAACGCCGGGGAAGTCACAATTTGCACCATCGAAATAACTGCCCGCCGTACCATTTCCGGAGAAACCTCCGGTCATATGGTTTATTACCGCGTCTACATAAATTCTCTGAAAATAAAAAGGTGTCATATACATAACGCACTTATGTCAATACATGACCCGATTTATTAATTAAGTAGATTTTTCAAGTAGGTCTATACCATATAGTTTACATGAAATATTCATTATGTAAATTATACCGCGATTTTCCTACATCAATCAAATATAACCGTGGAAAGGAGCTTCAATATTATCTCAAGTATAGTCATTTTTGTTACTTTTTTGACATATAGCCAATATCCAATCGTCAGCACACATCAAGGAGGTAGTTTTTTTTTAACAAAAAAAGTGTTTTTATTTATACTCAATATAAAAATCATTTGTTTTATATTATTACTTCGTATAAAATGTTGATTTGATACATGTCCCTGACATATAAAAATAATCACTATTATATTGTATAATTGTCAAAACAAATTAACTTCATTGTTTCAAACAATATTACAAATACTGTCATGATAATTATAACTGCATAGTACAAATATATAGAAGAAGACCTTTATAAGTTTTATAGCTTTCGGCTCTAATCCTTTTTCATTCATGTATCTACTTATTATGTTGAATCATTGTTTGAAATAAAATATGTTTAACTAAATAATAAATTTAATCACATCATCTATACAAACAAATACACATAAAACATAAATTTAAAAAAAAACCTAAAAAACAAACAACAATGTTAATAAGAAAGATAACTCCACAGGACAAATCACCGTAGCCGAGTGTATATGCATTGCAGAATTATTTCCCTTATGTTATCTCGATATACAAATGATTTTAGTATAGGTATTTATCAGTATATAGTCAACGAGCATTGTTATAAAACCAATACATATTATCAACTACAATATATTAATGCTATTCAATATTAAATTACAAGAAACTAAAATATCCGCTAATTACTTTTCTTAAAGGCACATTATGCCTTAGAAACAATTAAATTTTACATATTTAAAAACGGCAAACATGAATTTCATAATGTTTAAAAGATATTTTCAGAGAATGTTTGATGCCTATTACTTGAAGGAAGTAGCGACAAATTCGAAAATTATTTGTAATAAAAGTAGCAAAATGTAAACAAAGTAGTATTCTGACTTCCGTAACAAAAATAGTAATTCACTATAACTATACTTATTTCCAAAAAGCAACAGAAAAAAGATGGTTCAGGTAATTCACCAATCAGTAACTTTTTGTTTACTATAAAAGTACACCAAATTAAAAGTACTTTTGAGAAATAAAAACATTTCTGATGGGCCTTTAACGAAGTATTTCGTCTCTTACCTCACACCAACCTTGTTACACGTTGTTACCATGTCTTTAAACTCCCGCTCATTACCGCTCCTGGTGATTAATTTATAACTTGCGGGCTGGTACCGTTCATACCATGGTCTGTTTGGGTTGGTGACTATTGCGTTCTCGTTTGGAGGCGAGATCTGTTAGTCATAAAAATCTTCATGAAATATTTGATTACATATATTAGGTAACCGCGCCTGCATTGTTTTACTTATACTTTACTTAATTAGTAATTCAAATAAACTTTTGTATTGACAAGGAACATCCCAAGATTTACCAAGTTTTTATTTCTTTCTAACGTCTTGCTGTAGTTTTTTGTATTTTTTTAAAAACTTTTGTACTCGTCATTATATTATTTTAGAAACTATGCTATTTTTAAAATTAAGGCACATTTTCACAAAAAAAAGAAATGTCGTTTTTGTATTTTCTGATCGCAGATCAAGAAATATAATGCTGACATTCAATCTCTGACACAGACTTGCACGACAAACCTAACAACAAGTAGTTCTCAAAACAGCTTAAAACTACCGATTTAAAAGAAAGAAATATTTTCATTTTGTTACAAGTATCCAACAAATTACAACGCAAAGTAGCGTTGGCTTATAGAAATGTCAATAAATGCACAATCACAAATTACGCGGATGAATATCATTTTAATCAATGAATGCTATTTTAGCGATGTCGATTACCGAATACTGCAGAGCGTTGTACACAAATAAATCTGACTGTCGAGTAGTAAAATATATACATGTCGGACTGTTTTGGCGAGAAGACTTTCGCTAAATTATTTACATCAGTGTTAAACAACAAAAATACCTCGTAATTAATAAGGATTTCAAACCCGAAATGGAAATTCTAAATTTAGAATTACATGAACATGATTTTTTTCAGGCTTTCTTTGTATAACTTCCCCAAAGTGCAGGGGTAACCCGCTCGTTAAGGGTGTAAGAGGTCTTGGGTTCAAATCTCAGTCGAGGCAACTATCTTTTTCAAGCGTATTTTTTAAGGCAGTAGCCACGATATGCAGGGATAAAGTGTGGCTGTCATAAAAAAATGAACATAAATAATTGTTCGATGCAACTCTAGTCATGCAAAATTCCGTATGTATTAAACTCAAACAGTTATAGTAAACAATCTAAACGCAGTCGCTGCATCTCGGTGCCATGTGAGATGAATTATAGTATATAAAAATAAACTTATTCAGGAAAATACATACAGATATACAGTACGATTTAGATTGCAAAGATCAGAAAATACCACAGAGCTTGAAGCCCTTTGATTCAATCATGTTACAGGGTGACGGCCCAAGGCTCTATAACGTGCGTTATTTCAGGCTTCCACGACGGCTACCTTAAAATGACTAATCTGGGAAGGATTTATTCTAATGTTGCTAGAACTTGTTGTCCAACCCATTTGCTTTTTGTTATATACTCAGACTTAGATGTTACCTGTACACCGCAATACCCATTAGGCCCTAGAAATCGTTCGCATTCCGCCTTAATGTCCGTCCATTTCCACTCGAACAAATGAACAATGGTGTCACGTCCGGCTGCGCAGTGCGGCTCACTGTAGGGGCCGGCAGACAGTACAACTAGAACAAAACAAAAACATAATGAAAACACATAACATTTGTCTAGTACATTCCTATATTATAAATCATTTAAATTTAGCTCTACATTTTTAGGAAACATGCTCTAAAACCATTACTTACAGACCTAAAACTCATATGTTCCCTTTCTAAAGAAGTAAAAAATGTGCATAATGTGCCTTTAAACTTAATCTACTCAATACAATACACTTTAAAAACAATTACATAGAAAAACAAAAGTGCATGGATTGGATGCATTTAAAATAATATCCTCTATAGAAATGATCAATCTCATCTGTTAAACTAAAACAAAAAATAGCTTAATGACGAATTATTTAATCAGGCAATATGTCAAGTAAATAGACCAAGACAATGTCAATAAGTCGAGTTAAAAAAGAGCTCTCGAAATAAATAAACGAAATAAACACTATCAGTGCTGCATATTTACTAAATATTTCATGAGTGGCGGCAGCCAAGAGTGAAATATGATGTTTTCATACCATAAAAATACGAGATTTATTTTTATCGAGTAGTATGAAACTAAATATTTCATAAGTGGCGGCAGCCAAGAGTGAAATATAATTTTTACGATGAGATGATATAAATCACATATTTATAAAAAAAACACTTGAATTTTCTGTTTATTATATTCTTTGTTCTTTTTTTACCCTACAATTCCAAAGACTTCTCTTTTAATTTTGTGTATCAGTCGAATTTTGAAAAAAAAGTAGACAAGATGGCAATGAAAATACGGAAAATATGTTTCACTGCAATGAAAAATAACTTTTTACAATGAAAATACTGAAAATGAAAATACGTATTTTATTTCATCAATATTTCTCAGTATTTCATTTAAAGTATGATTTTAAAAAAAAGTCGATTAATTTACAAACTTACCTGATGTAAGTATCACTTATTATTAACTTCTCATATAGCCAACAGAATTAAACAAAGTGTACAATGCATAGTAAAATAGATGATTTAATATATGCATACACTTACCGTGCGGAATGTTCACAACTGTAAATATCAAAATAAAGGATAACATATTCATGTACGTTTTTAGATATTAAAACTAAATGTTAATTAAATTCAGAAACTGCCTATTTATACATTTGAGCCAGCTTATATGGGATTGACTTTGGTAATTTTGTAGGATGTTAAAATATAAAATATAAAAATATATATGTTAAATAAAAGACAAAAACGCAAAAAATCCGCATTGTTGGTTTTAATTTATTTTCTTAGAATGAAATTTCAACATATCATTTGTTAACTAACGCCAACACGGTGGGATTTTACAACAGGACACGTAAACGCTGTACAACATAATTCATGATGACTCAACTTTTGATTCACTACTATGTTTCTTTTTTACCGAGTAGGGCTTGCATTTGTCTTTCGTGAAAACAATAAATGACACGTGTTTAATATCACGTAAGGCCAGTGTACTTTCATATAATGTATTATAACATGTTAACAATGACGACGAAAACGGTGAAGCAGTTGATAAAGACAACGTTGGTTATGATGCTAAAGTTTCTTTGTTGATGATGATGATGATGATAATGGTGGTGGTGAGGAGGGTTATGGAAATGATGATGACGATGATGATGATGATAATGATGATGATGATGATGATGATGATGATGATGATGATGATGATGATGATGAAGACGACGGCGAAGATGTTTATGTTGAAGATGATGAAGATGAAAATGATGGTGGTGGTGATGGTGGTAATGATGCTGCTGCTACTGCTGCTGATGATGATGATGATGATGAGATTATATTTTGTAGGTTACTTCTAAAATCAGTTCATTTCAATTGGGAAAAGTGTCCGGACCAATTACATATATTTTTTGTTAATAATTTGTTTAATGTTTTACTTTAACTTCTTGAACGATTGCGTATGTCATGTAATCGGAGGCCCATAACTCTAACCTGAGTTTTGACGGAAATATGACTCTTTTTGAACTTCTTGGTTAATCACATTAATCTTTCAATCTCTTGAAGTTGTTCAATTGGTACTTAATACATGACTTTGGGATCATAATTGTAGGTCACTATAATAATAGCTCTAGCATAGATATTGACTGATTTGTTACCCTTAACATCTATATTTTAATCTTTAAATTTTTAATTAATACCTCCAAATTGATCTTTTTTAGTTATGATTTGTACAAAAATTGAATATTGAATATGAAATATTACAAAGGGAAATTACTTTATACCTTTAATAAATAATTCAAAAAGGGTTATGTTTCTTTGTCACTAAGTTGTTCTTTTATAAATATTTCTACCTACGAAGTTGCAAGCTCTCTGGAACAGAAAGATGCAAATATATTAGTAAAAATTCGTGCCTTGGGACGAATTCGAACCCGCGACTTTGAGCTTACAAACAAAGTAACAGCGCTTTAGACCAGTTAGCCAAAAAATCGATTCCCTTAAAGTAACATTATTGTCAGAGACTGAACTTATAATATTTATGAACCATTAAAATTACAAAGCGTAATAACTAAAATTAAACAAAAGAGTGACGTTTCTCGGACACGATTAAATGATACGATCTATCCACCTATTATGTTTTAAGTCATGCTCCGGAAAAAATATATGCTTTATATTGAATAGGCCCTATATTTAACAACTTAGAGGACAATAACTTCCGTATGAAGCAGGAAAATAATTCAAATGCTTTGTTTCATGCACATCTACATCCTAGTAAATACAGTGAACATACGTTTTGAAAAAATCCACCATGGAGAAATTTTGTTAACAACAATTAAAAATGCTTTATTTTATATATAATAAAAGGGGCAGTAACTCCTATAAATCAAGTTGAGAAATTCAAATTATTAACACAAACCTAAATTCAAGAACGTTGTACCTAACTTTCGAGATAACACATTATGAACTGACCGAGGATATTTAACAACTATGAAAATGCTTTATATTAGATATATGAAAAATTAAAGGGCAATAACTAACGTATAAAGATGAGAAATTCAAATTCTCAACACAAACCAACTTTCTAGTACAATGTACATAACTTTCGATAAAAAAGTACATGTTTATATCTAAAAGAATAGCTATTAAAAAGCTTTGTACGATGCTCGTATATGATAAATGAAAAACATTTAAAGGGCAATAACTCCCATATCAAGTTGAGAAATTCAAACTCTAAACAGAAACCAACGTTCTAATACAGTGTACTTCATAACACTCTGGGGAACACAACGTTAACTGTTGAAGAAACAGTGTTCACTTCTGATTTTACTGGTCCCAGTATGATTATCTCTTTCAACTTTGTGTATCTCATCTCTGCTTATTTCGTGTATCCGGACCTCCGTGTCTGAGTGGTTAAGGTGGCTGAAATGGTAGCCTGTATGTGAGATTTCCTTTAAATAAACAGTACAGATATATCCGCTGCAATTCGAATTTTGGCAGTAACTTTGCCTTGAATTTAATCTTGATCTTTCTTTAGCCTTTTTTTTAAATTTTAGTGGTACGCTTTTTTAAGATTTTGAAAAAAAAATCAATTTAAAATGAACGGATTGTCAAACCCGTATCAAATGACTGGTCTTTGTTCAGAGACGATTGTAAATAACAGGTCATTTTAAAACAAAATATTTTTAGACGCCAGGTTTTTGTTTTTACATCGCATCAACACAGTATAAGTCAACCTGGTGTGCCATTTCGTGCATTATTTCAGGCACGAACGAGCAACTGAGTAGAACCACCTACGTTCTGTAAGCTAGCTGGATAACTTCCTTACACAAAAGTCCAAAGTCCCTATCGGGATTCGAACCCACGGCGGTGAGTGGCAAGTGGTGTGAAGTCAACGACCTTTACCACTCAGCTATAGACGCCCCACAAAGACGTGAAGAACCATGAAGCTATTTTTTAGTTCCGAGGTGTACTGAACTACAAGTTTGACGGTACCAAAACAAATCTTATCAATTCTAAACTTAAAATTAGTTTTCAGCAATATTTATGATGCCTTAAATTTAATAAAAATCGGTGTCGTCTGCGTGTTATTTTCTAACGAGCGAGGAGGATTCATTGGGGGAAGAACTATGACTTTCTTCAAGGGCGTCGTGATTCTTTTTGGAATATTTCTAAATGTTTCTGCAGGTATTTAAAATTATTTAAAGTGATGTATTTTTATGTTATGCATGAATGATAATTTATGCAAATATATATACAAAACAAAATACTCATGAATAATGCAATTATGCCGTTGCCGCATTCCATGTTTGTGGTAATAAATTATAATTGATCACAAAAAATAATTGATGTAAAACAATTAAATTCGATGCATTAAAGCGGCACGCCCCTATACTACAAGCACTTAAAAAAGCTATATAAACTGATGAAAAATATATATCAGACTTTTAAGAGCTTTATGTATAAAAAAAAAAAACTTTTCATATTTATTCAAAATATGGTTATTTTCATCAATAAATGTCTGCCTCGTTTCGAGCGGAATAAGAGAAACTGTGGCCTAGTAGATAAAGTGTCTGCCTCTCAACCCAGACATCATGGGCTTGAGCCCTAATCGGCACACAACTATGTTTTTGTTTCAAATGATGCCAATACTGGTTGGTTCCATGAAGCGGACTCGAAAGTTTTATTCATCATCATCATCATCATCATCATCATCATCATTATAATTATTATTTTTATTATTATTATTATTATTATGATTATGATTATGATTATTATTATTATTATTATTATTATTATTATTATTATTATTATTATTTATTATTATTATTATTATCATTATAGAGATATTAATTACTGTGTTGCGCTAAGCGTGCACTCATTTTCTTTTAATTGCGAATTAAAGTAGTTCGCACGTGTATCGAAAAGAATATCAACATGATTTTATTTTTATTCATAACACAAAATGAGTAAAAATGCTTAATTACAAATTAGTTTTCCAAAGTTAAATAACATAACAAAAATATCACTGTTTGTTACTGGAATGGTTTTTGCTACAGTTTCGTATCCTTGAATTGTACATTTCTTTATTACACCATTATGATGTAACAATTGGAACTATTTTATATCATATATATAGATTCATGCGCCGGTAGGTGTGGCCAAGGAGTAAACTCAAATTACAACTGTCAGTGTAACTCGGCTTGTATCAACTTTGAGGACTGCTGCGTGGATTATAGTACCATTTGTCTTGGAGGTATGAAATACAAAATTTTGTTATGACTAAACAAACAACAAGGGCAATCCGGGCTCGATTCCCGGACGGCGCATGTCACTTTCGTTGTAAATGATCATGAAATCCTTTCTACAGTCATTTCCACTGTACGTCTGCTCTGGCATGTACAGAAATTATTAGTTCCATGCGAAATTGAAGGCAGCTAATACTGTTTAACTGCTTAACAGCCCGCCCAGGAATGACGTGGTGACTGTTCTCTGGTAAATTCAATTTGGCTTACTGCCGTGATCCGGAGTGAAAACGCAGAAAACCACCACCATCTCAACGTTCTGATTTTCCGCCAGTTTTTAAATATGTTTTTATAATTAATTTATAATTAATATTTATGCTTTAGATAATACAAAATAATCTTTAAAACCCTTTCATAACTTTGGTTTTTGGCAAATTTTTGAATCCAAGAAAAAAAATATTTTATTGATTTCATTTATTTAGATCTATACATGTTTACTATAACAACTTTTAATTGTTCAATGTCTTATTTCAGACACTTTCTTGTTCATTTTCTAACACATTTATCCCATGCCGCCTTTTAAAATAATGTAATTTTTAAATCAACATTTTCATCACACGTCGCTGACAAAAAAAAAGTTTGTTATTTTTTGTCGCAGCAACATGTTATGGACGATGTGGACAATCGGCCAACTCGGCAAAGCCCTGTCAGTGTAACACTCTATGTAGTTCGTATGGTGACTGTTGTACGGACTACAATGCCCTATGCTTAAACGGTAAGTAAGTCTGACTTCATCACTTTCTCGTGCTGATTTTGCGCCGTGCATATATTTTGACGCGAAGTCCTTTGCGTTATATAAACCTAGTGTTAAGATGCGCTAAATATTAGCGTTAAACTACAGCCGCGTCAATGAAAAATGGCTTTTTTTTACTTCAAACGGTCTTTATTTTTGTATGTGATAAACAAGACATTAAATTCGTGTAGGTTCATTACTGAATTTATTGAACACGTTGAATAAAATAAAATTTTGCCAGTCAGAGGCTAGCATAATATAATTTTATTCAACGAGTTCAATACATTCAGTAGTGGCTCGCATAATATAATTTAATTACTCTTTCAATAAATTCAGTTTTTAACCTACACTCATCCAATATCTTCTTTTTAACAATCACTGCACTTTTGTAACGTCGCTTTTCATTGGATAACCGTGACGTTAATATAAACAATATACACGGCTGCAGTGAAATAATCAGTTTATTTCATGTTTTGCTCTAAAAAGGAAGTGTGCCGTATTGTAAATTCGCTATAAAGATTCTTTACAGGTTATATGGCCGTATATAAACATCTTTTGGGTCATATAACCTGTCAAAAAGCCTTATAACTATTAATATACCCGTTATAGATTGGTGAACACACCGCATATTTCGCCATATTCCGTTTAACGATTTAATGAGCGTCCGCATGAACTAAAAATCTGGAACTTTTCAACTCATTGCTATTCAAATGGAGCTCATATATCAATGACAAAGTTTAACGAATGTTGATGGTAGTTAAAATAAAAATAAAGATGCTGAACATCTATCTATTTTTTTAAATCTTATGAAGATGAGGTTTATGTTCAACCGTTAGGCCTTTTTTCGCCTTCCCTACCTACCCAACAAATTTGCCCCTACCCAAAAGATGTTTTCAGGTTCTTAGGGGACGAAAGTATTTTTTCTTTCAGAGTTCAATAGGTACAATCTAATCTGATATTTTAGACAGCTAGCATAGTAATTAATATTAATTGTTGCATATGTCAGTTGTGAAAATGGTAATGTATGTACAGATACTATTGCACAGATTAATTTTAATAGTTCACTATATATTTATGCAGATTATTTATTAGTATGCACATATAAAAAAAATAATTTTCCTACCTAACTACCTACCTACCCAACCCTAATTTTAATGGGTTGGGAAGGGGAAAGAAACATAATTTTTATTTTTGGCCTTACGATTTTCGAACTTATAACTGTGCGGTTTAAGAGGTGGTTCAAAATTATTAACCATTTTGTAAAGCTGTGTTTGTATCATAAAGTATTAAAGATCTTTTTTCTGTCTCAAATGTCTTATTGCTATGTTTTTCTTGTCTAAATATGAAATAACAGCTTATTAAGATATTAAAATATAAACTTTCAGGTGGCGGCCCAGTAACCCCGGTTGATCCTTTGAGTGACGTAATAAATGACATCTGGGATAGCGACACAAATCGTTTTACATCGTCAGAAATTGTTCTTAGTACAACAGGAAATAAGTATGTCTAACAGTAAATTGTTCACAAATTATAGATATAAATAAAAATCAAGTGGCGGCGTGGCCGAGTTGTTAAAGCATCAGACTAGTAACCTTATGATCGCTAGTAGCATGGATTCAAACCCCGTCGGGGGATAAGTCATTGTGTCCTTGAGCAAGAACCTTTACATTCATAGCTCTGTACTGGTTGGTTCCAGGAACGGATTTGAAAGTGTGTCTATAAACTTATAGCTTCCTATACAATCGAGCTAGATAAATACTGTATAAACTAAAAGTAAAATAGACCAATATCCGGCTGCATAGCATAATGTTGCATCTTTGGGCTTTTATAAAACCAACAAAAGCACTCAGCGACTGAATAATCAGCTATATTAAAAATATTTCTTCAAAGTTGAAAATGGTTTTAGAAAACAATATGCCGTTGAATATCAGTTTAATAAATGACCGTTCTCGTTGTATTGTACAAAAAGGCCGAAAGAAGCAATTCACACTGGAATAAGTAATAATACCCACCTCTCTATCTAACCCAACAAACAAACAAAATTAATTAAAGCACCTGTGATCTAGTGTCTACTGCATAAAGAACACCCAGACAGTCATATCACTGCTGCATATTTGATCTTAAGTCCATGGGGTATCTAAATAACTTTGCATGTACTCGACGATGGATGCATGTGTGATCTAAAGTCCATAGGGTATCTTAATAACTTTGCATGTACTCGATCATCAAAGATAGCTGCCAAATACCCCACGAGTGTTTTGACCTACATCAGTTCCAATCGCTACATACATAAGATTACTGACTGATAAATCACATTTCAAATTTTAATCATTATAGTCCAGGGGTGTTTCTTCAAAAGCCTAATGTCATGATATACATCTTTATTCCAAATAATCATGACATGGTAAATTTTGTGTATCCATTATAGGGACTCCACTGAGGTTTTTTGACATGATGGGACTGAAAATATTTTTTCCAGATAAATGTACCATTTGTTGTAGGTTTATACCTCTAATCTTTGTGCAAAATTTCAGATCATTCGCGCACTTCGTTTTTTCCAGAATAATTATTCAAATATTTTAAACGCTTTTCACTCAAATCGGGCCAAGAAAAGCATAAAAATACGAGTTTCAATTTATTTCAAAGTATTTTTCTTATCTATCTTTGCATATATTTCTGTTTAAAGTGCCCCAAATCATTAATGTATTAACTAAGAAATTCAAATGTTATGTTTTTAGGCTTTCAAACCTCAGTGGAGTCCCTTTAAACTTAACCAAACAAAAAAGAAACGGAATTAGAAAAAAAAGATTATTTGTCTTTATATATACTATCGATGACAGGGCAAAATCCTTTTTGTTAGCTATACAATCTAAAAATAAAATTTAACTGAAAGCAAGAAATATCTTTAAAAATGATACTCGGCCGAAGTAAAACTGATTAACATGCAAACTTATGTTATTTCTAAGTTTTAAGTACAAAAAAAGAAATGTTAGCAATGATTGCATAACAATGACATAATAATTTCTTGTAGCTAAGAAAATGCCTATTTTGTAAAGATTGAAATTAAATTATACAGTAGCATATTGATATTGATGATTTTTCAAAGCAGGACAACTTTTATTCTAGATGTCTCTTTTACTTGTTTTATGTTTGACTTTATAAATTTTGAAATCATTTTCAAATTAACTTAACAGTTTAAATACTTTCCTCATTCCTAAACATTTTATTTTAGGATTATCCTTTACATTTTATTCTATAGTGGCAAAAACTATACCTTAAATGTTATGTTAGAATGGTTAGAACTATCATTTACATTTTATTTTAAAAAGACCAATGAAATTCACCGATTTTAGTTTGTAATTTTAAAATGACCAGTGAAAATTCTCCTTATACTCAGTCCTTCCATGTAATTTTACAGGAAGTCAAACTAATAACAGACGGACTTTGGAATTGAACACAATAATTTAACTGACAACTTTCGTTCTTTCTTATTTTATGTATAGACTATTCACAAATGTCAACGAAGCAAAGTTTTCCCTTCCGACGTTTCAAGCGTTTATAAATCTTCTGGATAACTATGAGCGCAAGATCGGACTTGCAGAAATCTTGCTGGAATACAATTACAATGAAATAGAAACGTTTCTTGACGTTGTCATGGCAACTGAATCCATGATCCTAGCCAATGCGTTCCTTGTTAGAAATGGTATCTACTTTATACTTATAATACTACTTTTTAAAATACTCATGCAGTAACTGTTTTTGTCTACGAAATTGATTTTTCTTATGGTTTGAACGTACTCCGTTTACTTCAGTGTAATGAATTATTACAAGACTTCATAAAATGTAGAAATTGAGTACAGGGAGATTATCTTGCAATGGTTCAAATGGAAATTACATAAAAGCATAGCAGTTTAAATAGAATAAGAAACATTGCAAACACAATTTTATGCTATTCCTGACAAGAATATGTAAAGAGAAACTAAGTGAGAATATAATACATTTTCTAACTTATAATTCATTTAAATAACTGAATGGTACTGACAAAATTTAACGCTGAGTTACGGGGAGACATTTTATAGCGAAGTCTGCTTTTGGCGAAGTCTGCTTTTAACGAATCTGCTAATGGCGAAGTCTGCCTATGACGAATTCGCAATTTCCCACTTCGAAATATAGAATATTAAACTCAAATATCTAGTATAATCTTTATTGTAGGAAAAGTCGGAACCAGTGCAACCGCATTCAGAGACGCCCTCAAAGAGTTGTGGTTCAACCTTTATCCACGGTCCTCGAGTCAAAATTTTGACGACAGTTCAGGGTTCGAACATGTGATGGTTGGAGAAATAAAGGTCAATCAAATTTCGTAACATAAATTCAGCCTTATTTGCCTGCAATATCATTTGACCTTATCACATAACCTTAACGAATTTAATTTATAATAAAGCAAACTTCCTTTTTAGAGAGAAACAAAAGATTTCTTCATAAATTTACAGCAGCTGTTTACATAAAACTATGTTAACGTCACGATTATCCAATGACATGCGACGTTACAAACGTGCAGCATTATAAGACAAAATATAGAATCCACTTATTTTTAACTAAACTCTGAATGTTCAGTTTGCATTTAAAATATCGCACCACTTTTCTTATTTATTTTATTATGCTATGATAATTCAGGGAACCAGTATATCGGGATTTCATAGCTGGATTCAACTTTACCTACAAGAGAAAGCAGGTGATCTAACATACACGTCAATGGTCTCCCAGTCAGAGGTTTGTAGTTTTTCATGTTTCAATCTGACTAACGTTCAGATCTACTAAAGTTATTTCTTGCATGAAGATCTGATTGCCACCGTATTTGTTTCGCCTTCATTTTGATTCGGATTTCCCGAGAAAGCTATTTTTAGCTAAGCAATCAAACTGTACGTTACAGAAAGGTATTAGACGAAGTATCAAAATATCGATGGCCGTGAAAGTAAAACAAATTGTTAATTTTTGTAAGAAAAAAAAGTAATTTTAAAAAAGTAAATTGGAAGTAAAAGACTCAATTTTTAATGGGTAAAATTGTTTTGCTAGTTTACTTGCCGGTTGAATGGTCAACGCCATGTTTGTTTTTGTAATCGTGAAAATCACATACTTAGTATTAATTTTCTAGCGGACCACATCACTTTCAAAGTTGTGAAAGCTCACCGATGATAGGCTGTTTGAAAGGTTACGTGAAGGTGACCTCCTATTGGTGCCCGTCAGATCCTAATGCGAAGCGTTAATAAGGAGCTGATTTTAATCAGATTGTTGATGTTTGTAACGCATCAGAACTAGGAAAAGCTGTGTTGTCTTGTGTTCTAAAAATTGAACTATTGGGGCGTCACATTTATGATTTTGGGTGTAATAAGTGTTATGCATATATCATAGCAACTATCCAAGCTAGATGACATTTGGATTTTTATCCCGTAAAAGGGATTTCCTTCTTTTTCTTTAAGCAATAAATAATGTTTGAGGAAATAAACAGTTTTTTAATCTAATGCAAATCGTTACCTTAATTCAAATCTGGAAGGTAAATATAAATCGGAGGATCCATTTAAGCTCTATGACGTGCTGACAAGTCTGTTTGATTTAAGAGATTTGACATTACATTCTCATTTTGTAAAGAGGTATGACAATCTACTAAAGTAAAGTGAACAGATATATGATATAGGCTCGTTGGTAACTTCAATGGTATATAAATGAAAGCATGTTTTAGCCGTACAAAGATATTATATGTCAAACACTTTGAATATTTAAAGGATCGGTGCATGTTGCTTAAACTGTAACTAACTCTCATGTATTAACTAAATAAAAAGTTATGTATTTTGCAGCCAAACATAAAGGCGGCGGCTTTCCGGTGGTTCGGCGGCACCAAATCAAAAGGTTCGTTTTTTCTGGGAACCAGTCCTGAGTTCGATCTAGCCGTTTACACAATCTGTGCCCTGTCGCACCCCAACGCCCGCTGCAACTTCTCCCTGAAAGGCAACAGTGTATCCATACAGACCTATGACATCAGTCATAAAGCCGGGAGCCAGATCGGTTCTGCATATCCGGCTGTTTAAGGGAACGATTTTCACGGGAACTTTGAATACATTCTGACAGATATTCACGATGGACAAATATAATGCTGGTTACTTCATTTTTTTTATCAACGTTATACTAGTACATGCGAATAAAAGTATATTATTCATACTATAAATGTTCTGTTGTTGTTGTTGTTGTTGTTGTTGTTGTTGTTATTGTTGTTGTTGTTATCAGCGTTTCAAGTTTTAGTCTTTCTACACATCTCTCCTTGTGTGTTTTATATCATTTGAAATGTTAATGAATATATTGATACAGAGATGGCCTTGAACGAAAAATATAGTTGTTAGACTAATGGAAACAAGGTCAACTGTAGAAACGAATTACTTCTTAACAATATGAAAACGCATTTAACTTTAAAGGTACTGACACAGGATGAGAAAAATGTGCAGCCTGACCGGTACTCGAACCCGGGACCTTCGGAGTACCATACCGCGACTCTACGGACTGAGCTATCCGGCCGCTTAAGCACTATCTACACTAATAAGTGAACAGTTCAATGCCGTGACAGTAGTAACGTTTTACTTCTTCACAATATGAAAACCACACTTACCTTAAAAGAATGTATTACAAATGTACCCAACATAAAATCATATTTAACTTAAAAGGTAGTAACGTATTACTTATGTTTTGATGCAAAGCATCGGATGGAAGACGTAACGTTTTGGCATTCTGACAAAAGTATGTTTGCGACAGAATCAAGAATGGCAAAGGCAAATCTGTTCCAGGAACTTGTGTAGGGAATATGATAAGACTTAATTAAATCAAAATCATCATCAGAGATTAACAAGTATTAACAAGTTCAATTCAACCACTTAGTATTTGGCTATAACATTTTGATTTTATTTTCTTTGTGTGTGCGTGTGTGTGCTGGGGGTGGTTACGTCGTACCAACACAGAAGAGGTTTTATTGCGACTTCACAGCTTACTGGTGGAGAGAGCATTATTTCAGTATTTGAGACTCGGGCGGGTACTTGTGTATAACCACCGACGTTCACTAAGCTAGCTGGATAACTTCCTCAAATGAAAGAATCAAACGTCCTTGGTGAAGTCAACGACCTTAACCACTCCGTCACAGAGGCCCTTTGTGGAACCTGGGGAACCTGGTGCAATGGTTTTTTTGCTTGGTCAGAACTTCTAACTTGCCTTAAATTATCATCAATATTTTTTTCCATTCTTAATATGTTTTGTTTTAAAAGATGCAACAATTCTTTTCCTTTGAAAATCTTGATAAACTATTTGAGAAAAACGTTCATGTCACTTAAAAAGACGTTTAAATGTAAGCTTCCAATGTAAACATATGATAACAAGTTATTCTATGTGAAGTGATTTTGTTTTGCTGAATTTATAGACTATGCGATGCCAGTCCATACAATCCTATACAAGAAAAGCATTGATGCAAAGAATCAAAGGGCGTCCATACAAGAAATGCAGCAAGTGAAGATGAACAAGTAGACATCTGATGACCAGATATTCTTATAAACTTTTCAATAATGAATTGGTTTTTGTATTTTCTGATCGCAAGATCAGTAAATACAAAGCTAACATCCACGGTCTAACACAAATTTTCCTAACAGACCTAACAACGCAAAGTAGTTCTCACTCAGAACTGCTTAAAAACCAGCAATTTAAAATAAAGAATAATTTTTAATGTATGCATTTAACGAATTACAGTGCATTAAAAGTTTAGAGTAGTCAATAGAAATATGAGGTTACGATCACAAATTTCGCGGATGAATATCTTTTTTACCCAATGAAAAATGTTCGGCTATTTCCGTAAAGCTTAATCAATGAAAATGCTATTTTTAGCTATGTCGATTACCGAATACTCCAGAGCGTAGTACACATAAATCTGACTGTCGAGTAGTCGAATATATACATGTCGTACTGTTTTGGCGAGAAGATTTTCGCTAAATTATTTTCATCAGTGTTAAACAACAGGTTTATAGTGAAGAAAATACCTCGAAATTAGTAAGGATTACAAACACGGAATGGAAATTCTCAATTTAGAATTACAATGTATTTGTTATTATTCAAGCTACATAAGTATTACTTCACCGTGGTGCTTAGGTAGCGCGCTCGTTTAGGGTGTGAGAGGCCCAAGGTTCAAATTCTAGTCGAGGCAACTTTTTTTTTTGAAGTGTCTTTTTTAAGGAAGTAGCCACGATATGCAAGGATAAAGTATGGCTGTCATAAAAAATGAAAATGATTTTTTGATGCAACTCTAGTCATGCAAAATTCCATATGTATCAATCTCAAACTGTTATAGACGCAGTCGCTGCGTAAGATTAATTATAGTATATAAAAATAAACTTATATAGGAAAATACATACAGATAGTCAGTATGATTTAGATTGCAAAGATAAGAAAATACCACAGAGGTTGCAGCCCTTTGATTATTTGTTTGGGTCGTCAGACCAAACAAATACAGACCAAACAAATAATGGAAGCGAAATTTCAGACCCTGATGCTTTTAATTGCAAATGCCGAAAGCAGTTCGCTTTTTTGAAGCGGTTACTTCCCTTCATACGTACACTAACGCCGAAAAATTCAGGGGAGACCACTGCGTAAAGATTGTCAAATGACAGGTGCATTAATTTTAAAGCAAAATAGTTCCCGAATGGTCGAATATTTCTAATATTGTTTTATTCCTTATAGATATACATGCTTATAGTAAGCTCCATGATTATTTACATCTGTGTTAAACAACAGGTTTAGCGTCGAAATAATAAGTTACAAACCCTTATTTAGAATAATATGATTTTCTTCAGGCCGTTACCGAGGGGTTTTCACGCTCGCTTAGTAATCGGGAGGTCTGGAGTTCAAATCCAAGTTAGGGCAACTCATTTTTTTAAAAATTGTTTAAGTCAAATAAACATTGAATTGAATATCAGTGTTGCAATTAGTCTTATAGCCAATTTAATACAGTAAAAACACTAGAAAGCATTGGTGGCACTATGCCAAAACAAATTGGTTTATAATCTCACAACCTTCTTCTTTCTGACATTCTGAGACCCAAACAAATTCAGCGCCTTCTGTGCTTTGATTAATTGTTGGAAAGACATTGTTCATCATGAACTTTGGTAGGCATGCTAGAGATTAGATTTTTTTTTCCACAGGAACTTGAAATTCTATCAATATTAACGATAATATCCAAAATATACAGGTCTATAATATCCAAAGTGCAATTAGTTGTTTGAATATGTTTCATTTTTCATATTTCATTTCCTGCAAAATTCTCCATTTCGTTATTTACAACCATAGCGCTACACGAATGACCGTTTCGTTAACTAAAACTACTTCTATAAATAGATTTTCGGACTTTAGCAATGTTAAGGTCATCATTCTATTTATAGGTACAGCAATACACAATAACTCATTGTGTGTACTACATAATGATTAATAAACAAGAAAAATATTACATACATTCGTATGTAATATAGGTACGATTGCATACTACTTTTTGTAAAGACTTTATGTTTGCTGAATTAAAGGTGTAATGTAAAATGAACAAACATGTCATGAGATATTTTATATCTTTAAACATTTTTATGGAATGTAATTAATGTATCATCATATTAAAGTTGCATGCCTTCCGATGAGAAAAATGATTTCAAGGAAATCAAAATATGAAAAGAAAATTCACGGTCAATTGACTGCTTTGAAGCATAATCACAAATTTGAGATATGATTATTTATTCATATTAACATCATTATTGGTTATATATTGATAAAAAAAAAACCCGAAAGACACAGTTTGTAAATATTTATTACAATAAAATATGAAAAAGGTATTTTCTATCCTATGCGACGCGCCGAGGTTAGCTATAATTAAAATTCCCGCGCAAAGTCGCGGTGGTGCTTGGGATAATCACTTGATACTGTAAATGGCAGCCATTTTACGATACGAAAATGCCTGGCCCTCCTCGGACAGTTTATCCTGCCGAAAAGATATGAAAAAATACTTGCAATTCAAAGTTTGTTTATTACATAAAGATTATCGATTTACTCTTTGCACACTTTTTCTCTGCCTGATTGTAATAATATTGATGTGGTTTCATTGGCTTAAACCATCACGTTACCAATACACATGTAGGTGTGAACTAATTTCGTGTTCATTAAAATTATTCCGTTAAAAGACATATAACAACCTTATTTACAAATGAATTGATAAAACAACAATCACAGAAGCATTTAAGATAATAACAATCATTGGAACAAAATAAATGCGTATAAATTGTAAATTTGTGTATGACAACTCACCCCCTAAACAAAACATAATAGACTCAACCAAAACAAGCGCCTGCTTCTTCACCTAACTATGTAGTTGCATGACCATGATTAGCAATATAGCGAACCAAATCTAAGAGATAAACCTATTGTAAAAATAATACTATGACCACAGCAGATTTCGTACAGAAAAAAACCCGAAGAGCGCGATTAATTGACGGATAAGATAATTTCATTTGAAAATGTTTGCATTGCGAAATTCTCCAGTTCTCTATTCATTGTTCGCGACAATCAAACACTCTCATACCAATCGGAATGATCGGCTTTTATGACCGCCGACGAAAAGGCCCGAGATGTTGCTGCCGCCCTTTCACAAAATCTGATTTCATTCCATAAGGGCGTCGCGCTTCGGCGCGGACGCCAATAACTTATTACACGTTGACAAGTCCTTACATTTTTGGGTAGAAATAATTTAATTTAAAAACTATTACAGCTGTTGAATTATTACAAGTATTAGCATTTCCAAAAATGCTAAGAAACGCCGTACAGCCAGGTGTTCAAAAAAATGAATTCCTTGAAATAGATTCCTTCTTGAACAACAAAGCTAATGTCTCTTCTTTTCAGAGAAATATTTCGAATACTGTTTACTGTGGGCCTACACACAAAAAGCAGCTTACGAGTACGGTCCCCGGACATGTCACCAGTCATGCCCTTAAAGCTGCAAGTCTCTAGATGAGATAAAATATTTCAATAAAATCAGACTTGAGAAAAATGTGTTAAGATTATTAGACAAGTGTTATCAGCGATTTATCATTGATTTTGCTGTGCCTATCACCCTATTTTTATTGCGTGACTAATGCAGTATGTGCTATTATTGCATATTTTGACATCTGTTTGGTTATTTAGGTGAATTGTAAGTTCTGTTTGCAAGGCGTATTGTCACTTTTTATTGTCAATATTTTACTTTTAAATACATTTTCAAACTTTTCATGAAAATTCGCGGCGAAGGAGTTGTTTGGTCTCCAGGACCTACCCTATAATTAAAAAAACCCAAAGCCCGGGATCTTAACCATTTAACGTTTTCCTTTGGGGAGAAAAATAAACCCAAGCCCCCAAAATGTTCTCCCGTTTGCCATTTTCCCTTTCCCTTTTCCCGACGTCCCACCCCACTGGGGAAGAAAATACCTTACTTTGGAGTTTAAATTTTTTAAAAAATTTATTTTAAAAAAACCACCACACATCCCTATTAAACACTTTGGGTTTGAAAAATTTTGGAATTTAATTTTTTTTTTAAAAATCCTTTTCTTCAAATTTTTCTCTGAATCTTTTAAAAAAAAAAAACATTTTTAAATTTAATTAAAAATTGGGGGCCGCCATTTTAATTTTGGTCTTCAATGTTTTTTTTGGGCGGGGTTAATTTTTTTTTAAAAAAAAATTTGGAAACTTTTTCAAAAAATTTTAATTTTAATTTAAATTGGGGGTTTCCGAATTGTTTTTTTTGGGATTTTTTTTTAAAAACTTCCCGAATGAAAAACCAAAAAAGGTGGGGGTTTTGAAATACATTTTTAAAACGGAAAAAATGAACGATATTTTTAACCGAATTCCCTGTTCTCCTTTCATAGTATCATAATACTTATTATGTATGTTTATTTGTTAATAACGTGTTAAAGAAAATTGCACGAAATGTTATGTTATTATCCAAAACTATCAAGTTATGTTTGTTATAAGGCCAAATCTTAATTGACAAATGATATAGTTGTTCTTGTTTGATGATGTTGTTTTGTGGGTGTGTCTTTATATATTATTTAGAAGGCCACGTTTAAAATTAAGATATGTTATTTGTGTTTTACGATGGTGTATTTTCATGTGTTACCTTCTTTAAATAAAGATTATTATTATTATTATTATTATTATTATTATTATTATTATTATTATTATAACGGTTGCCCTATAAAAACATGACGGATGGTGTGCCCCGTAAGCGCCTTTTTGTTTTATTGTTGTGGTATTAACCATTGGCTTAGGGCAAGCGGTGTACGGGTAGAAATGGTCACATCTTCTTCTACTTTTTGCCACTCATTTCTACAAATTTTGCATTAAATTTTACCAAAAAGAATTAATTGATCTTAAAAACTTTTCAATGCGAATGTAGGTTACGATAAGAGGCGGAAATTCAGTATGACGAGCCTTATTTTAATCTTACTGTCTGATCAGGCTCTATAAAGTTATTGTAGCCATTTTATTTTTTTTAATTTTCATTTTGATATTGAAAACCCTTAAACTTTGATCGGGACTATACTAAATTCAAAGCTGGATAAATCAAATTTACAAATAATAAATCAAACAGCAAAATGAAGGATTTTTAATACTCATCTTATCGCCTCCAAAACTTTTTTACCTCTTTAACCTTTATTTAACACGTGCTGTGACACGGATAAAATTTTTTCGACTTTAATAGCAGCCATAAACAGGCAGTGTTGAATATTAAAAATAAACAATGACAAAATCTGAAGAAAAAAATGTAATAATATAGTATATTCTCTAACCGCCATTGAAATTTACTACAAAACTTTGGGTGTGTGTTTGGGATTTGCCAGTATGTTATGTGTTTTTGGATTAATTTACCGATACAGCAGAAAGAATTTCGACGATGGAGGTCAGTATCTTTAAATGATTGATTTTGAAACTTTTAACGCGATTAGTCAATGTCGAATTTGTTGTATTCGACAGTCAAATTTTTCTTTTTTGTTTTTTTCTGTTCTGTCATTCCTTTAAGGTGAAAACTTTCAGACCATTTCTAGTTTTTATTTTGAATTTTATGAAAAGTTCTTTCATGCTATTTTAGTACATATTTGATATGAAGTATTGTAATTGTACACTGTTACATCCACCCCTCCCCTTCTCCGACCCCCTACCTCTCCGTCTCCACCCATCCCCTTTTGTCCAAAACAAAACAAACAACAAAAAACACCCACACACAAAAATGGATTCAAAAAATAAAAATGTTGATGTGTAATGTAAACAAATGCTGTTCTTGTACACAATTACGGACCCACTCTCCCAACACGCACCCACGCAAAAATTGAAATCAAGGTGCAACAACTAACGTAATAAAAACTTTACTTATACGCGATTTTGGAAATCCTTTCGTTATTTTTTTTCTTTGTACAAATGTAGGTCATACCTGGTATAATAGATAAAAACTTGCTAGGTCAGCCATAATCACTGTACAAAGATACCCAAATTTTTCTATATCTATAGTTAAAGTAAATGTGTTTGCATACGTGCGATAGAGCAAAAACAGCAATGTATCTACTCATATTTTTGTATACTAAATATATATAAATCGTCAATAAATATCAACAATAGTATATTCCTTAGCCTTACACATTCATTTTCAGGTCATGTGCACGCAAATAATTCGAATAGTAAAACAAACTCGTTTCTGTAATTAACCTAACAATTTAATGGCCCATTATGTCTCAGTATCATTTTTATTTAAAAAAAAAACTATTTATTTTTGGTATCTTGTTACAGTTTCTAAAAGTATACTCATTTGCTATAAACATGAACTATCTTTTGCATCTTAAGCTCTGTTGGCAATAACATTGTAGTATTGAATTAGTACTTTATATATGGAAGTCAAAATACAACGATTCGCTCGTAATCTTACATTTTTTCTCAAATTTGCAAGATTTTTTTACAATTATTTCACTTTTTGTTTTAGCGGAAATCAAGCAAAACCTAATGAAAAATAAGTAAACTATTGACCCATGACACCTACTAATCTTAAAACTCACTTTGGACTACATGTATGTATTACACCTTGCCAAAACTTTGATGCCCTTTTGTAAAAAAATATCTGGATCGTCAGATGCATAAGCAGGTATTCACATTCCCTTGAATACATTTTAAAATATATAATTTTGTAAAAAAAAAATGTTAAGAAATTTAGTAATAAATAGACCATTAAGTTTTAAAGGGACTCCACTGAGGTTTTTTGACATTACGGGACTGAATTTAATGGTTATTTTTTCTCTCACCGTTGATTTAAAAATCATGTTGGATTAGTCGTTGTTCACTTAGGGAGAAATCAAAACTTGTTTTAAGATTGGTATAAAACTAGAAAAACAAACAAAAAAACAGATAGGTGACAAGAAGTTTACATTTCGATAATATACGCACAGTGACGGGTTTGGACTTCAACGAAATATTGGCTGGTCGAGGATGCAGTTGCTTTTCTGATAAATCGCGTAAAAATTATGCAGTGGTACACTTGTTTCATAATTGACATTACGCCAGAGAAGAGATTGCTCCGCCCACTGATTCACGAGACCGGGTCTTTCAGAACCTTAGAAAAAAGACTGTACTGACCTTTACGGGAAACTCTTATGCCACTAAAATAACAGCATTCATGCATTAATGATGAATAAAACGTTTGGCAAAGATTTTGTTATATTTCTCGTTGACTTAAAGGAAGATGTTGCCTAAAAAATATCATTTTAGTTCACAAATTCAAAGATAGTTAAAATTGATGAAGCGGAACTTATAAATAGTAAAATATATTAATAACACAGTAACATTTACAAAGTTTTTAGGGTTTTATGTGCGTAGTCACTTGTATATAATGCATGTGTGCATAAATTGTAAAATTTAATGGCGTAACTTTGTAATATGATATATGATTATATGAATATATATATATGTACATTAGATATGCTTCGTAATAAAACGCAATATTATTCACTTCAAACAGGGTCTTTCAAATAGAATTGAAAGAATTGAAAGACCCTGCTTCAAAATAAGTTTCGCATACACCATACCTCATTGTGATCAGATATGATGTTCATTTAAATATTTAATCTTGATTCATTGAGGTTTAATAGAAATATTTAGGTAGGATAATTTCACCTAAAATATTCATTGCATATTCTCTCATTTTATTTGCAAGTACTTTTTTCCTACTGCAGCATTTTATTGACACTCAGTTATAAACGAACAAAAACATATCATTTGGATATTCAGGGACCTTATTATATGTTATGTGATTATGAATAGACATTATTGTAATAAAGTAAGGAAATAATAGAGTAGTTGTTTAAACTTTTTCCTTTTTTAATGCATTGTGATATAGCCAGTTTTAACTTCCGTACCTGCTATATAAATTATTATCTTCATATAATTATACAAAGTTACTGATATTTTTTTTGTAAAATAAACTAACTGACTCCATCTGTCAATATGTCAGGATATTTGGTAACTTAGATATACCGATTTTTTTTTTTAATTTAAATTGACAAAAATCAAAATAATTTCAATATAAATACTGTTAATTGCACCATTGTCTTAAGAAATATGGCGGACTTTGCAGACATCTTAGCGTGAAACAATCGCTGATTGGCTTATCTGTAAGAATACTGCCAGCTTGATTGACAGACGGCGTAATGTCAATTATTACGATATCAGCTATACTGACCAAACGATAAAGTAATTGGACGTTTAACTAATTAATAACCATTTGTCAACAATTAGTCATGTGACCTGGGCAGAGGTTAACGGTGGAATTCGAAGTCATGCAATACATTTAAGTGAGTCATAGTTTAAATAGCTTAATAAGAAAAATAATTAAATTATTTAAAATGAAGATTTTTTTTAGATTTTTTACGCAAATACAGATGGATTGATACTTTTATTTTATCCAGAATTGTTCTAGATATATTTATTTAAAATTTATACTGAAAACAGAAAATAAAAGAATGACCAGACGAGTAATGAAAAACGTGGGACACAAACGTATAATTATATATGCCTTAACATAGAGGATATTGAAGTTTTGTTTATATAAATACAGTACAGGATTTATTTTCATCGAGTGGTTTGAAAATAAATATTTCACGAATAGCGATAGCCACGAGTGAAATATGATAAGTTTTATACCACAAGATAAAAATTAATAAATCCTGTATTTATAGAAAAAAAACGTGAATTTTCTCTTTATTTATTTATCTTTTTATTTATTTATATATTTTTGACATTACAATTTGAAAGATTTAGATATACCCTTGAATTTTGTGTATTGGGTGAAATTAGGAGAAAGTAGTCTTGCAAGACACCAGTGAAAATACTGAAAATATGTTTCACTGCAGCGAAAAATATTTTTTTACAGTGAAAATACGGAAAATAAAAAAACGCATTTTATTTCATCAATATTTCTAAATATTTCATTTAAGTATTTCATTTATGAGAATATAACAAATTTACTTATAAATATATATTGATTCTAATAAAGGGCAAAATATTTTTGATTTTCTAGTTAAACCATTACTTTATGAGCATTTTTGTGAAAAATGGCTGTTTTCATTGAAAAGTCTCCCATTACAAGTTCAAATTGCTATAATACTATAAAAACTGCTTCAACACTAAACAAACTTGGCACAAATGTTGACTGTACCCTTGCCCTTGCAACAACATACTCAGGCTTAAATTTTCTGTTACCATGGCAACGAGGGGACATCTCAAAATTGCCAAAAAATCACTAGTTTGCGTTGATTTTTTCCGTCAAAATTGATTCCAAAGTGCTGCAACTTCTCAATGGGTTGAGATAGAGTCAAATGCTTTTCAGCGTTGGTTACACGTTACCTTATGATCAATCTGGGTCATTTATAGCCTCTTAAAAGTCCAAAATTTTCTTGGCAATGAGGGGGCTTCCGTCCCTCTTCAAACCCCCCCCCCCCAAAAAAAAAACAAAAGGGGGCACATCCCCTTCTGGCAACCCCCTGATGTATTTTTGGTTAGGGGGCCGCGCCGAAAAAGTGGTCATTTTTTTTTACAACATTTCTCAAACAAAAACAAGTGTTGGGGCGTGAATAAGGCATTTCTTCACCATTTGAGACAACAAAAAAGGGGGGGGGTGAAAAAGGCGTTAAAAGGCGTGTATATGGCGTAATGGGTTAACAGAAAATGATGAAAATACTTGAAATTACCCTAAATTGCGTTTTTCCATGTTTAAACATGGCCTGTCATATAAATTTGAAGAAAAATTGTTGTTTTGTAGATTTTTTTATTTTTTTCATTAACCCATTACTTCATGAGCATTTTGTGAAAAATGGCTGTTTTAAGGAAAAGTCTCCCATTACAAGTTCAAATTGCTATAATACTATAAAAACTGCTTCAACACTAATCAAACTTGGCACAAATGTTGACTGGACCATTGGCCTTGCAACAACATACTCAGGCTTAAATTTTCTGTTACCATGGCAACCAGGGGACATTCAAAATTGCCAAAAATCACTAGTTTTGCGTTGATTTTTTTCCATCAAAATTGATTTCAAAGTGCTGCAACTTCTCAATTGATTGAGATAGAGTCAAATGCTTTTCAGCGTTGGTTACACGTTACCTTATGATCAATCTGGGGTCATTTATAGCCTCTCACAAGTCTAAAATTTTCTTGGCAATGAGGGGGCCTCCGCCCCCCTTCAAACCCCCCAAACAAAAGGGGGCACATCCCCCTTCTGGCATTCCCCTGATGTATCTTTTGGTTGGGGGCCGCGCCGAAAAAGTGGTCATTTTTTTAACAACATTTCTCAAACAAAAACAAGTGTTGGGGCCTGAATAAGGCATTTTTTCACCATTTGAGACAACAAAAGGGGGGGGGTGAAAAAGGCGTTAAAAGGCGTGTATATGGCGTAATGGGTTAAAACTATTAAATGGTACAGTTAAACCTATAAAGAAAGGCCATCAAAAGGAGAGACAGAACATGACCTTTTAAGAGAACTGGTCTTTATCTGGAGGTATCTTTATTCAATCAATGAAGACTTGTCGAATGGTGGTCTTTATATAAAGGATGGTCTTTATTCGGATGTGGTCTTCAACACAGGTTTTACTATATAATTATGCATGTGTATGATATTTCCCAAATGTAATTAAAATGTATGTCTAGACCAACGAGATCTAGATATTCGTACATGATTAAATCTATTAGTTTAATCACATACTCTACTTAACTGCACTCAGTATAATAATCAGTATTTAAGGAAATTTCCGGAATTAACAATATTTTCCTGTTTCTAAATTACACAGGAAATGCATGTAAATTTATAACTAGATCTTTGCATGTATTTTTGTGAAAACTGTAAAGTTTTAGGGCCTGATTAAGGATGTGCACTTTATCACAGTATTATAAATAATCCACCATACCTGCCAGTTACTCCTGCCTATTACAATAAATATGCTCTACAGTAAAGTATTAACAGGAGGGGAATTGTCCGCCGTAAAAAAATAACGGGAGGGGAAATGTCCGGGTTGTGAAAAAACATTCAAATTTACTGGGAGGGGAATCATCCGAGAGGGGAATTGTCCGGATACCTTAATATACATGTGCATGTAATTATACATGTACTTAGGTGACTGGTCTACTTTAGTATATTTATATCTGCTAAAATCGCTACATAATTAATCATAGACATACTAATTAATCATTACACACATTAAAGCGAGTGTCTCGTGTATTATGCGTATAAAGTTTGTAATTTGTTTGTACACATGTTGATGAACTTTGCGTTATTCTTTTTTGTATGTTTAATCATCATTACAAGCCGGTGCTAGGGGGGGGGGGCGTTGATGGTAGTTTGCACTTACCACTTTCGTCCATGAGCAGACACTACATTTTATACTGAAAATGAGTTTTCCGTGTTGACCAAACTTTTTATTTTGCTGCAGTACAGTAAAAACTCTGAAAACCGGACCCTCTGAAAACCGGACAATTTTAAAAGTCCTATATTTTATCCTTATAAGTTTATTGAAAAAAAATCCTCTGAAAACCGGAACCTCTGAATTCCCAAATTCGGACGATTTTCTATGGCTACTTATGCTAATTATGCATAAAAAATCCTCTGAAAACCGGACAGCAATTTTAAGTGTCAACTTTCTGTGTATTTTAATGTAGATTAAAACATAATCTCAACAGGTGACATATTCAATTACCACCTCTTGCTTATCTATGCAGGTGTGAAAACAATTCCCAGTGTGTGTTAATTTCTTATTGGCAAATAAATTATTGCTCTTTTCATCTTAAGACTTTCCCTGTATAGGTATGATTTTTTCAAAATGTTGTTTTTTTTCTAATACAAATGTCTAAAATAATTAGGAAACTTTGTTAAATAATTCCTGCTTTGCTTAAAAATTTTGATATTTGAATTTATCTTTGTTTGAAAATTAATCATATGCAAAAATAGTAATAATAAATTCCATTAATTACATATTTTCAAAGCCAATGAATATTTTTCAGGCAATATATTGTTTTAGTATCTGATTTTCTGAATTTTATTCTTAGATTTGCATAATTAAAGTACTCAAGATATTTATTGCAAAAAGATATTAAAGTATGACTGAGACAAAAAAGGTTTGAAAGGTAAATACATTAATGATTGAACAAAGTCATTGTTCAAACACATCATAATTATCAAGAAATGTACACAACCTCTGAAAACCGGAATCCTCTGAAAACCGGACTTTTGGTCAAGTCCTGGCAGGGTCCGGTTTTCAGAGTTTTTACTGTATTTGTTTTGTTGCAGTATTTAATTAAGTAATGTGTAAATACGGACTTGAATTGTCGATTAAAGTCCTTGGTTGTTTAAATGTTAAATGTTAAGTGTCGGTCTATTTACCCCCAAGATACAAATTTATAGTCCCAGGACTACCCCAAGACACCCCAAGAAACTTATATATTGCGTAAGTTTTATTATTTACGACGACTGATTTTTTAAATGTCATCAAAACATCAAAAATGGACAATTATGTATGAACTTTTTTCATCAGCAAAATATTTATTGAATGTTCTTTATAGAAAAACATTATTTTTTTAAATCAACTTTACTGAAACAATAAGTCTTCCAAAGTTTGTTAATCTAATGAAATGTGGGGCAGATAAAATAAAAAAAATCAATTTTATGAAACAAATATGATCGATTTAATAATCAGGCATCAACAATACGTTAATCATAAAATGACACATTGTCGCAGAATTAAACTTGCACTACACCAAAACCCAGTACCTTGGCATTATTTCATTATTGTAAACTATTTTGCACAAAAAATAATTTATAAATTTACATTAAATAATACAGGGAAATAAATGAAGGGAGATAATTCAATACATGTGAAATCGCATATTACCTCCTGTAAACAATGTAAAATTAAGACGTATTAACATGTCAGTAAAAGGGTTCTTGGGTGTCTCGGGGTGTCTTGGCGTATCTTGGGGTAGTCTAGGGGTTGTCTTGGGGTGCCTTGGGGTAGTATTGGGGTATCTTGGGGTGTCTTGGGATAAATATAACGACCGGTTAAAATATGCACTTCTACATGTACACTTAGATTAGCATGTTAATTCTTTAACGTTTTTTCTATCTTTCACTTGTAATTGAAATAGATCTAGGTTTAAACAATCTTAAGTTAAAATTATTGACTGACATTTTCAAATGTGCAGATATGCGGAGCACCCATCGCGAAAAGTGATATGTTCCTGTTTGAATTTTAATTCAATGCTGTGTGCATTGCATACCGATCAGTAAATCCCCTTGATTCAGCAGGTGCTCGTGTAGACGGGGCCTCATGCGAACAGGTCCTTCAAGTGTTACTAACATGTATGTTTTTGACAGCAGGTTAAACGCATACATATTTTTATGATTTCAGTAACACAGATGGCGCCAGGAATTCGACGATATATTGACCAAATATCTTCAATACATGAGAATTGTGAGTAAAAAAAACTAACAAAGTTCTCTAAAATATTGTTTCTTCTTTATTGTTTTTTTTTTATCGTCTAAATTTTAAGTACATTTAGTTTCTTATCTATCTATCATGGTTAATTGTTTGTCTAGTTTTGCTATACAGCTTTCGAAACTTCGGTGGTTCTACTCGGGTGCCATCTCGAGCATGGAAAAATTTACGAGATCTTCCTTCAGCTTCAGGCTGGAAACTCGCCAGGTTTGTCCTCAAAAGAGCATGTCCATCGGCTTTGTAATCAAAGGGTCGCTGGTTTAATTCTCGACGGTTTAAAATTTGCCTTTGATGAAATAAAAAAAACAGATGGGATGTGAAGTCTTATCCAGGAAAGTCAGTTTGGTGAACGATCGCAAAGATATGACCAAAACTCGGCGTAAAAACCAATAGATTTTGTTTGATTGAATGGTTTATTGGTTTATTGGCAAATTAACTACAATGCACAGTTCAATACAATCGCGTTTAACTTATCGTCTTCTTTATTATTAAAAGTTTTGTTTTATGCAGTGATACTTTTAGGAGAAAAGAGTTGAAATAAATAATTTCTAACGATTGACCCGAAAAGGTTTAAACTTCTTAGATCACGATGTCCTTTTCGCACCATTTGTTTTGTGGACCATTGAGCATAGTACTCAATACACGACTAAACAGGTCGAAATTACAACATTATTTCAGTCCTTGTACATTGCCTTTTGTCTTTAATTTAAATCTTGCATTGTCGTGTGTCGTTTCGTATTGTTGCAATGTCATTACGAATCGTCACCATGCTAGGGGCGTCCGTAGCCGAGTGGTTACGGTCGTTTACTTCAAACCACTTGCCCCTAGCCGCTGTTAGTTCAAATCCTGGCGTGACTATAGATTCTTTCAGATGTGGAAGCTATCCAGCTAGCTTACGGAACGTTCGTTCTTCTTGGTGCCCATTTGTGAGTGCCTGAAATAATCCACGGAAAGGCATCTGAGGTCTTCCTCCACCAGTAAAGTTGGAAAGCCGCCATATGACCTATATTGTGTTGATGCGACGTAAACCCACATAAAAAGGTCACAATGCTATTTGCGGAAACTACAAGTAATGTCAAATTGCACGATCATGGCAATGTATTTTACCTCTATGTTATCTTTATCCCCAAACAATTTCAGGAGTATGAGATGAAATACATTAAATGTTCAAAGTGTCTGGTTTCTTTTTCAGCACCAGATAAAGTACAGACAAAGAATACGCGTGTGCTTTGTTTGATATTGACGTCATACATCACGTTCAGGTCACGTGTTTTTGCTGTAAATGCAACATGGGCCAGGCGATGTGACAAACAGTTTTATGTGCTCAAAACAGAAAAGAAAGCTCCTGATATTATCAACACCCCTTTTGGGGAAACCAGAAACAATATAGTGCATAAAATAAAATTTGCTTTAAGTTACATTTATGAAAACCATATTGACGATTTTGATTGGCTTATTAAAGCTGACGACGATACGTACGTCATTATGGAAAATTTGAAATTTTTGCTACGAAATCTTGATGGTCATAAGCCAGCATATCTTGGTTTCCATTTTGACAAATTCGTACAGAATGGATATATGAGTGGTGGTGCAGGTTACGTCATCAGCAATCGTGCTCTTCGTAATTTGGTGGAGTTGGGATTTTATCCGGAAAAATGTCCGGTTATTCCAAATAAGGAAGATCCTGAAAATAGCGAAGATGTAGAGATAGGCAGGTGTCTGAACAAAACAGGAGTGCCTGTAATAAACTCTTTGGATGATGAAGGGAAAGAAAGATTCCATCATTATCCTATTCAAAAACATTTGTTTGGTTCTGTTCCTAGATTTGTATTCGAATGGGCGAAAAATCCGCACACAGAGGTTTGCTTTTTCCCACTCTTTCAGTATTGTATGTCATAAATAAAAGTATCTGATTTAAAGAAAGGGATTTTGCTTAATATAACGATTTCTTTCTAATTTTGTTTCTCTGAACAATTGTTCCTTTGCATTTAGAATCTTAAGAAATCACAAATACATGTACTCGTATTAGCAAAAGTTTTTACCGTCCAATAAATTTCTCTCTGAACTCTAAACTTGGTAGCACAAATACAAATCCTACACCTAAGGTTTTTAAATACATTTGCATACGGAAATTTCTAAACGACTTATTTCCGAATGTTTTACACATTGTGTCTGTTTTGTACATGTCCAATACCATCGGATTGGATCAATATTAAAGTTCACATAGATCCACTGTTTTTAAATGTATTTGAAACATTAAATTATTTAACCACGTAGAAAGAAATATATATCAAATATATATATATCAAAATTATTAAGATCTGTTGATTCTAAAGACATGTTCAGGGTGGAATTTATTTGGAACCCTTTCGGAATGCCATACTTGTTTGTGTCTCTCTTAAAGAAAAAAAATCTCTTTTTTTTTCAGGGCATGGCCTGCTGTAGTAAGTACTCTATCAGCTTTCACTACATGGATCCGGCCTCCATGCTGATAGTTGATCACCTTCTATACAGAACATCCGTATTCGGGTTAGAAAGGGTGGATTCAAAAATTTCATGATGATCTTGCCACAGAAATAGCTTCTTACTTACATTTTTTACGTTTTCATGTGTGCATGTCATTTGCCAGACGTAGATATCTGCTTAAAAAGGGACATAACTGTGACGAAAGTCATTTCAAATCATGATCACACGTGGTCCAACAGCTAGGTGATACTAATTAGAGTGCCAACGATTGTGATATTCGCTGAATGAGAAGGAAATGAACCATATTTTTTTCTCGAAAAGAGAATTCTGCAGCGGAAAGAATGGCCGTAAATAAAGTTTGCGATTGGCTGTTGAAATTAAATTGTCGACATCATCCATGACTGTAATCGACCACACCTGTGCTATCCATTTATTATTTATTATCTCTATTTGTTTATGATGACCAATATGATCATTTGCAAACAGATTTTGGATTCCTAAAATGGACTCATCTATAGATAAAAACACATGAAAACCAAATCCTATTAACTGACAAAACATTTATTATATAATTATGTGTTACATAAAAACAGGAGTCTTAAAGACCATCATGAATACATTGATGCATACATCATGGTTTAAAATGGTGTATATCAATTATACCATTTTTCAATAATACAAAGTTCATGTGAGCGACACATAATGACTCATTTATTGAAAACCTCGCAACATATGTTTGTTAATTTTACAATATTTAAAGACATTGTTACATTCCGTCCACTAGAGAAGTAATTAATTTATTTCTATAAAATGTGAGTGCAGCTGCTCTATAGGAAAGATGATGTAGAAATCCAAAAAATAACTAATACAGGGAGTCCTTTTTAACTCGACTTGTATGTTGATCATAACTTTTGAAGTTCTTGATGTTTTGTCTTCATACTTGGCCACAATGACCCTTAGGACATAACCTTATAATAAACCACACTAACCCTGACTTTCATCAGTAAATGACCTTGACCTTCCACAAATGTCTTATTCACTGGTTTTTGCTATTAGTGGCTATAACTTTGTTATTTATGAACTGATTGTCTTCAAACTTGAACATAATAATCTTTTAGGATATACCTTTAAGTTGACCAGACAGACCTTGACCTTTACTCATAAATGACCTTGATCTTTAAGGTCAAATTTCCAAATGTTGCTTGTTTTTGCTTTAAGTGCCTATAACTTTGTTATTTTAGTGCCTATAACTTTGTTATTTTTTAATGAATTGTCTTCAAACTTGAAAAAATAATCTTTAAGGATAATCCTTTAAGTGAACCAGACAGACCTTGACCTTCATTCATATAGGACCTTGACCTTAAAGGATAAATTAATGGAATTTTCACTTTTTATGGATTGACTTCATAATATAATAGAACATTCTTTAGGATAAGATTATTTATGTATATCAAACTCAAATTGACCTTGGCCTTATTTTGACCTTGACCTTGAATGTTGAATTATTGCATTTTCACTAAACTTAAAGCAAACAAATAAACGGTTTAAACAAAAGCAAATGATTTGTTTAAACCGTTTATTTGTTTGCTTTAAGAAAAAAGGAAAAAAAGTCGAGCGTTGCCCCGCCCGGCGATGACTCTTGTTGGTATTTTGTTACAGTTTCAAAAAAAACTCATTCTTATATACACATGTACACAACTTATTCATCTTAAGTTCTGTTAGGGACATTTCCTTTATCTATATCATTATTATGCTTAAAGGCCCATTTTATCTAAGAAATGTTATCATTTTTATTTCTAAAAAAATGTTTATTTTTCGTATCTTGTTACAGTCTCAAAAAAAATCATTTGCTATATACATAAACTATCTTTCGCAACTATGTTTGCAATTTGTATAATTATATTGAATTAGTATTTGTATGGAAGTCAAAAAACTACTTTTTTACATTTTGCTACCTTTACGACACCTAACTGCATGCTGAGCACAACTTCTTTTCAGTTATAAATCATCTAACATGATATTTATCCGTCATTCAAACATTTTAAATAATGTTTGATATTTCTAATACTGTATATTATCTTATAACATATCTTAACATTCTCGTTGTAAATTAAAATATTTTATTACCTAATAAAATATCACTTAAAGTGACAATATGCCCATCAACGGGTATATAGTGAGTGAACGGGTGAAGATCATTTTGCCATAATCCCTTATAATTTAATCATTTACTCCACCTAAACAATAGATAACATACAGATCCGAATGAAATCTCTGTAAAAGAATTTACGTATAAATAGCTTAGTTTATAAAAAGAGTGGGGCAGTTTTTTTTAAATTTTGGGCAACAAAAATTTTTTATCCCGAAAACATTTTCCAATTTATCAACGGGTTGGCCCAAAACACCTTTTTGACAGTAAATCTTTGAAATATAGAGCCCAATTAAAGCTCAACTTGACTTTTAAAAATTTATGGGGCTTTAGGGTCACTTAAAATTAGTTTTTTATTTCCCTTTTTTCGGCTTGCCCAAGAAATTTTAATCACAGATTTAATGTTTAAATATAAAAAATTTTAAAAAGGATTTTAATAGAAAAATTTGGGCCAAAGGGAGAGAAAATTGAAAAAATCGGGGAATTGTTTAACAATGATTGTCCCCCTTTTTTAAATCCCCTTTTTTGTAATCCCAATTTTTTTTAAAAAAAATTGTAATTTTAATTTCATTTAAAATGAAAACAAACGCTTTTTTCTTAAATAGCTTTTGTTTTCTTCAGAAAAAAATATGGTTATTATTATTAATATTTGTATTTGTATTAAAATTCATGTTCCTTTATTTATATTAAAATCGTAATTTGTAAAGCACTTTTTGACTTGTTTATTTACATGACTGGAGGTGATGATGATGATGATGATGATGATGATGATGATGATGATGATTAAGCGAGTTTTAAAAGTATTTTATCTTAAATAGCTCAAATTGCCTAAATTAAGTTAAAACGTATTGCCTTAATTAAGTTAAAACGATACACAATATTATATTTCTGTATAACTTCTTGTTATTGCTTATTTGATTGACGGATTCTAGTTACTTCCCTTGAAGTATATAACTCCCTTTCTAATGTATTTAAACATTGTTTAGTACTTATGTACTTATACATATAAATTATTGTCGCCGAAATATTGTCTTAATACGTTTTAGTAGAAGACGATATAGTGAGAGAGTAACTTTTAATATCTTACATCTGGGATAGCGACACGAATCGTTTTACATCGTCAGAAATTGATCTTACTACAAAAGGAAAAAGTATGTCTAACAATAAAGTGTTCAAAAATTATGAATAGATACTAAATGGCGGCATGGCCGAGTGGTATAGCGTCGAAATAATAATCTAATGATCGCATGGATTCAAACCCTGTCGAGGGATAAATCATTGTGTCCTTGAGAAAGGAAGTTTACAATCATTGCTCTGCATAAGTTGATTCCAGGAACGGATTCGAAAGTGTATCTATAAGCTTATAGCTTCCTACACAATCGAACTAAAATAAATTCTGTTTAAACTAAAAATAAAAGAAACCACTTTCCGGCTGAAGAGCAAACTGTTGCAATTTGGGCTTTTAGAAAACCAAAAACAGCACTAAATGACTGAATAACCAGCTTTTAATTGAAAATATTCCTCAAAATTGAAAATGGTTTTATAAAACAATATGCCGTTGAATATCTGTTTAAGAAATGACCGTTCTCATTGTTTTGTACAAAAAAGGCTGAAAGAAGCAATTCTTACTGGAATAAGTAATAATACCCACCTCTCTATCTTACCAAACAAACACAATTAATGATCTAGTGTCTACTGCATGAAGAATACCCAGGCATTTAGTTATATCACTGTTGCACATTTGGTCCATGTGGTATCTAAACAACTTCTCGACCATCAATGCATGTTTGATCTCATGGACAGGTATCTAAATATCTTTGCATGTACTTGACCATCAAAGATAGCTGCCAAGTATCCCTCGAGTGGTTTGACCTACATCAGTTCCAATCGCTACTTACATAAGATTACTGACTGATAAATCATATATCAAATTTTAATCATGACTGTGATAGGTAGTTTCTTCAAAAACCTAATGTCATGATATTATATATCTATTTCAAATCATCATGACATGGTAAATTTTATGTATCCATTAAACTTAACCAAACAACAAAAAATGGAATGAGAAAAAAAAATATTATTTGTTTTTATATATACTCGTCCTATCGATGACAGGGCAAAATCCTTTTTGTTATCTATTAAATCAATTGATCTGAAAACAAGAAGTATCTTTAAAAATGATACTTGGCTGTAGTAAAACTGATTAACACGCAAAATTATGTTATTTCTAAGTATTCAGTAGAAAAAAGAAATGTTAGCAATGCTTGCATAAAATGACATAATGATTTCTTGTAGCTAAGAAAACACCTATTTTGTAACAATTAAAATTATATTATAGCATAAGGATATCGATGATTTATCAAAGCAGGGCAACTTTTATTCTAGGTGTCTCTTTTACTTGTTTTATGTTTGACTTTATAAATTGTGTAATCATTTACAAATTAACTTAACAGTAAAAATCATTTAATTATTATTTTAAAATGACCATCATATTCACCAATCTTAGTTTGCAATTATAAAATTACCCATTAAAATTTTCCTTTTAGTGGCGGCATGGCAGAGTTGTTAAAGCGATGGACTAGAAATCTTATGATCGCTAGCCGCATGGGTTCAAACCCCGTTAGGGGCAAGTCGTTGTTTCCTTGTACAAGAAACTTTACACTCATTGCTTAGTACTGGTTGGTTGCAGGAACGGATTGATTCAAAAGTGTGTTTATAAGCTTATAGCTTCCTATATCATAGAACTAAAATAAATTCTGTATAAACCAATTCTACTTATACTCAGTCCTTTCATTTCAATTTTACAGGAAGTCAAACTAATAACAGACGGAATTGTTCCAAAAAAAAACAACAAACAAACAAATTGAACAAAATAATCTAATTAACTGACAACTTTCGTTCTTCTTATTTTGTGTATAGACTATTCACAAATGTCAACGAAGCAAAGTTTTCCCTCTCGACGTTTCAAGCGTTTATAAATCTCCTGGACAACTATGAGCCGAAGATCGGACTTGCAGAAATCTTGTTGGAATATAATTACAAGGAAATTGAAACATTTCTTCACGTTGTCTTGGCAACTGAATCCATGATCCTCGCCAATGTGTTCCTTATTAGAAATGGTAACTATACTTTGTACTTCATATAATGCTACTTTTTAAAGATCCTGTAACTCAAATTTTGTTTTGTGATCATAAATCATGATGCTCAAATGAACATTTATCAATATTAAAAATTCCAAAAAGCATTACTTGTAAAGATACTACCGAATTTACATTTCATGTAAATAAAGGAGGTAATTACAAATTTATTTCGATAAAGTCAAAGCCAAAGTCTTCAATAAGAAATGATTGCATACAATTTTTGATTACCTATAATGAGTATAAACATTTGCAGTACAGTTTAACATATTCTTTGTTTTAAAAGACTTATTATATTCATAAACAATGTACATCATTTTACTTAATTGACTGTTGTTACATCCTTAATTACAACATACAGGATCTTTAAATATTTGTTTAGTAACTGTTTATGTCTATGAACTTTATTAAATTAATTATCGTACTCCGTTCAATGTTACGAATTATTACAAGACTTTAATTCCATAGACTTCCTGAAATACATAAATTTGAATACAGGGAAATTATCTTAATTTTGCAATCGTTCAAAAAGGATAATCCACAATAGCATCGCAGTTTAAATGGAATGGCTTATTTATGAATAAGAAACATTGCAAACACAATTTAAAGCTATTCCTGACCAGAATATGTAAAGAGAAACTAAGAGAAACTAAGTGAGAATATCATTCATTTTCAAAACTAAAAATTCATGTAAATAACTTAATGTTTCTACAATGAAATTTAACGCTGAGATTCGGGATACTTCCTCGAGAAAGCTATTTTCAGCTAAGCAAATCAAACTGTCCGTTACAGAAAGGTATTAGGCGAAGTATCAAAATATCACTGGCCGCAGAAGTAAAGCAAATTGTTAATTTTTGTAAGAAAATAAGTAATTTTAAACCAGTAAATTGGAAGTTATAGACTCAATTTTTAAAGGGTAAGATTGTTTTGCTAGTTTACCTGCCGGCTTTATGGGCATGCCATGTTTGCTCTCGTAATCTTGAAAATTACAGTATCAGTATTAATTTCCAAGCGGTTAAAAATAGAAACCACATTACTTTCAAGATTGTGAAAGCTCACCGATGATAGGCTGTTTGAAAGGTCATAAGAAGGTGACCTCCTATTGGTGCCCGTCAGATTCTAATGCGTAGCGTTAATAAGGAACTGATTTTAATCAAATTGTTGCATCTTTGAAACGTAACAGAACTAAGGAACGCTATGGGCAAAATTATTGTTGTTTTGTGCTTTAAAAATGTAATGAGTAATTTAACTGTTGGGGCGTCACATATTTTGATTTTTGGTGTAATAAGTGTTATGCATATATCATAGCAACTATCCACGCTAGATGACATTTGGATTTTCATCCCGTAAAAGGGACTTCATTTTTTTTCTTTAACCAGTAAATAGTGTTTGAGGAATAAACAGTATTCTAATGTAAATCGTTACCTTAATTCAAAACTGGAAGGTAAATATAAATCATAGGATTTATTTAAGCTCTATGACGTGCTGACAAGTCTGTTTGATTTAAGATCTTTCATTTTGTTAAGAGATATGATAATCTACTAAAGTAAAGTGAACAAATATATGGTCTATATTCGTTGGTAACTTCAATGGTATATAGATTAAAGCATGTTTAAGCCGTACAAAGATAATAAATGTCAAACACTTTGAAAATTTAAAGGATTGTGACATGTTGCTTAAACTGTATCTATCTGTCTTGTATTAACTAGATGCAAAGTAATGTATTTTGCAGCCAAACATAAAGGCGGCGGCTTTCCAGTGGTTCGGCGGAACCAATTCAAAATGTTCGTTTTTCCTGGGAACCAGTCCTGAGTTCGATCTAGCGGTTTACACAAATTGTGCCCTGCCAACAGTGTATCCATTCAGACCTATGACGTCAGTCATAAAGCCGGGAGCCAGATCGGTACTGCATATCCGGCTGTTTAAGAGGGAACGATTTTCACGTGAACTTTGAATAGATTCTGACCGATATGCATGATGGAAAAATATAATGCTGATAAACTTCATTGTTTTATCAACGTTATACTAGTACCCTCAAATAAAAGTATATTATTCATACTAAAGTGTTCTGTTGTTGTTGTTCTTGTTGTTAATTAAGTGTTTCATCTTTAACTCTCCTTGTGTGTATATATCATTTGAAATGTTTATGAATATGTTGATACAGAGATGGCATTGAGTTGTTAAATTTATGAAAACAAAGTCAATGACTGTTAGTAATTAATTATTTCTTTACAATAAGAAAACCACACTTAACTTAAAGGTAGTAACGTATACCTCTTACCAATATGAGAATCACATTTAACTTTAAAGGTAGTGAAAAATGTACACGTACTTGTGAAATGTCCGATGGTCTCTAAATGTCACAGGGTGAGAAAATAGAGAATACATGGTTGATGTCGGGATGAAGAAGGTTTATCTGGTGAGCGAGAAAGTGTATCTTGGCGAGCTTTAGCGAGCAATATCTTGGCTGTTATGCCAGCAAAATGCCTATCTTCCAAGCCGTCACTCTCTTTGCTAGTGGCTCACGCACCCTACAACACTTTCATTATTGTAACTTCCCTCGGCTTAAGTCAGGACACCAGCAGAAGAGTCTAAGGTTGCGATAGAAGCCTAAATCCTCAGAGATTAAGGGATAGTTTGGTCCCCAGGACCAACCCTATATGTACAAGAACCGAGCTCGAATCTTAACTAGTAAACGCGTCCTTGGATAGAAAAAAAACGAAGCACCAAATGTTCTGCTGATGCCCTGTGCCTTCTCTGCAACGTGCACGCACTGAAGAGATACCTTACATGAAAATAAGTTTTCCAAATTTATATATAAAACACCACACAAACTATGGTAAAAATACTTTTACAATAGTGCATAGATTTGGAATAGATTATTTTTTTATTTTGAAATCCGCTCTTCTAATTCTCTGACGTCTTCTCAAAATAAATATAGATAACATATATCTGTTTCATGTCATTATACGAGGAAGTCAACAAAGGCTGGAACCGCGAAGCTGGCCCAGGCTTTGGTTTACCTGGCTATAGACTACATGTGTTTATTCAGAAAGAAATGAAATTGAAACAAAAATAATAAAGAATATATAGAATTCTATAAATAAAATTTTACGTTTCAGTTCAATTTGGGCGCCGCCTTTTTCAGTGTAACTCAATGATATGAGACGGTTTATGCTCTAATTCGTTACAGTACACTCAAACAAGCATAAATTATTTACATTCTTTAATAAAACAACTTTGAAATAAAAAAACAACATAACACAGAGTTAAAAGAGGCTAGAGGGGTCTCCACTAACCGTTTATTTCCAACAAAAACAAAATTTTTGACATGAAGCTACATCAATTTTTGTTAAGACAAAAATAAAAATATAGCTTAGAACTACGTGACTTATAGTAACGAATTTTCTAAGCAAATATATCTACTAAAATATGCCAAATACTTCTTATAAAAGGAAAGAAAGATAAAATTTCCGATATGACTGAATAAGAGAGTTTTGGAAAAGCGGAAGTTTTGATATTTTCGAAAAGTCAGGTTGCTGCAAGCGGGATACCCAACCCTACTCCAACGTGGGAGGGGGGGGGGGTATTGTTGAAGGATGAATCCAGACAGCGGCTCCTTCGAACCTACCTGACATAAAACCCAAATTTAGCGGTTTTTATGTCATAATGGAAAAAAGAAAACGAATTTTGAAAATTATAAAAAGGCAAAGGCACAGATAATTTCTCTGAAATAAACTCATTTCATGTACATATTAATTGTATGTAAAAATAATAATAATTAACAGTGAATCAAAACAGAATTAAATGAATATGCCTCATCGATTTTGAAAGTCCATGGATTATATTTATTTCGTGTACTAAGACACATTTTTTCTTTGCTCAGACCTGTACATAATCCTGAAAAAGAAAACAATTGTAAGGAACATTAACAAAACTTTTTGTATAATATAGACGAAAATAGTTTAATATTTTCGGAAATTTGACATCTTAACGGCTTGACAAATAAACCTCGAATTCCCGCTTTACAAATAACAAGAAACTCGTGCACTATTGCTGCCAAAAAACATAACTTATGATTAATTCCTTATAAGGTAATTCTAAGTTACGGTGTAAGATTCCGATAATAAATACATGTATTCCAATGACAATAATCATGAAAACTGAAGCGGTGCATGAATTACCGAATGACACTTTTAAAAAGGAAAAATGAACGAATTTCTAACCGATTTCCCTGTTCATAGGCTTTACCTACTACCATATTATCATAATACTCTTTATGCATGTTTATTTTTTAAAGACGTGTTAAAGGAAATTGTACGAAATTCAATGTTATTTTATTATAGAAAAGGAAACGTTTGTCAAAACTATCAAATTATGTTTGTTATAGGACCAAATCTTAATTGACAATTCTTGTTTGTTGATGTTGTTGGGTGGGTATGTTTTATATATTGTTTAGAAGGTCATGTTTAAGATTAAGACATGTTATTTGTGCTTTACGATGGTGAATTTTCATGTGGTACTTTCTTTAAATGAAGATTATTATTATTATCACTATTATTGTTAGTAGTAGTATTTTTATTATTACGGTTATCCTACAAAAGCATGGTGGGTGGTGTGCCCCGTAAGCGCCTTTTTGTTTTGTCGTTCGTATTGTTACCATGTGGTTTAAACTATCCATTTGCTTAGGGCAAGTGGTGTACGTGTGGAAATGTCTTACTCTTCCTAAGTTGTTGTTGTCGCTGTGTGGTTGCTCTTTTGTTTTGTTGTGTGTGTGTGTGTGTGTGTGTGCGTGCGTGCGTGCGTGCGTGCGTGTGTGTGTGTGCGCGTGCGCGTGGGTTTGTGTGTGTGTGGGTTTGTTTGTTGGGTTTTTTTGGGGTTTTTTGGGGTTTTTTTTATAATTTTTTTTTTTTTTTATTTTTTTTTTTTTTTTTTTTTTGGGGGGGGGGGGGGGGGGGTTGTTTTGTTGGGGTTTTTTGTGATGTTGTTGTTGTTTTTTTTTTTTTTTTTTTTTTTTTTTTTTTTGCTTTTATTAGACATCAATAGAAAATCACAAGTTCCACAAACTTTACAATCATCCTGCAAAATTAACACATTTTTCTTCATTTTTATTTTAAAATTCTTTCAGACATAATTTTACTTTTCGCCACTCATTTATACAAATTTTTGCGTTATTTTTACAAGAAGAATTTACTAACTTGAAAAAATTTTCACAGAGGAATGTAGGTTGAGATAAGAGGCGGAAATTTAGTATGGCGAGCTTTATTTTAATCTTACTGTCTGATCAAGCTTTATGTTGTTGTTGACGCGATTTTTTTATTATTTTCATTTTGATATTGAAAACCCTTAAACTTTGATCGGGACTATACTAAATTCAAAGCTGGATAAATCAAATTTACAAATAATAAATCAAACAGCAAAATGAAGGATTTTTAATACTCATCTTATCGCTCCAAAACTTTTTTACCTTTAACCTTTATTTAACACGTGTGACACGGATAAAATTTTCGACTTTAATGCAGCAGTTATAAACAGGAAGAGTGAATATTAAAAATAAACAATGACAAATCTGAAGAAAAAATGTAATAATATAATATTCTCTAACCGTCATTGGAAATTTACCAAAACTTTGGGTGTTTTGGGATTTGCCAGCCTATTCTGTGTTTTTGGATTAATTTACCGATATAGCAGACTAATGTTAAAACAGGATTTCGACGATGGAGGTTAGTATCTTTAAATGATTGATTTTGAAACTTTTAACGCGATTAGTTTATGATGATTTTGAATTCGACACCCATATTTTTTTTCTATTTTAAACATGCGTTTTTTTTTATTTAGGTTCAAGCTCGCATCATATTTTATTTATATCAACAGACATGCAGGGAATTTAAAGTCCTTCGCATTTAACATGATTTGAGCAAACAGTTATAAAAAAAGATGTTTATTTTTATTTATTTTTTTGTTCTGTCATTCGATCTTATGCCAATATCCCTTTAAGAATGAAAACTTTCAGACCATTTCTAGTTTTTATTTTTACGAATTATTATTGTAATTGTACACTGTTTACCCTCCCCCCCCGACCCTACCCCCCCCCGTCTTCAACCAAGCCCCCCACCCCCCCCCACCCCCCCCCCCCCCAAAAAAAGAAAATAAATAAAAAAATTAATTAAAAACAAATATTGAAAAATTAACACCATAAACATATGGATTCAAAAGCTAAAAATGTTAAAGTGTAATGTAAACAAATATGCTGTTCTAGTACACAATTACAGATCCACTCTCCCGACACGCACCCACGCAAAAATGGAAATTAAGATGCAAAAAATAACATAAAAAAACTTAAAATTTACATGTACACGATTTGGGGCAACCTGTCGTTATTCTATTTCTCTTTATAAATGTAGGTCATGACTTTGTGTAATAGATAAAAACCTGCTAGGTCATCCATAATCCAAGTACGAAAATACCCAATTTTTTCTTAAGTAAATGCGTTTGCCATACGTGCGATAGAGCGAAAATATATGTATAACGCACAGATTACATGCACATAGACGCTACTCATATTTTTGTGTACTTAAGTATTATTTACTCAGTATTAAGGATATATATATATAAATCATCAATAGCCTAGATAATTTAAAGGCCCATCATGCCTCAGAAATAGAAATACTTTCATTTTTATATCTGAAAAGAAAAACTTTGTTTTGTTTGTATCTTGTCACAGTTTCCAAAAATACATACTCATTTGCTATATACCTGTACTATTATTTGCATTTTTAGCTCGGTTGGCAATTAGTATAATTATAAAGAATTAGTACAGAAAAAATTCTAGACCTGTCTGGACTTGACCATAAGTCCGGTTTTCAGAAGATTCCGGTTTTCAGAGGTTTTATATATTTATTGATAATTATGATGTGTGTTTGAGCATTGATAGAATCATTTTGTGTTTACTTTTTAACCCTTTTGTTTTAAATACAGTAGTTACATTTTAATTTCTTTTTGCAATAAATGTCTTGAGTATTATTTATGCAAATTCATAAATATAATTCAGAAAATTAGAAATAAAAACAAACATTATATAAAATGTGCTCTTGTAAAAAAAATATCTGGATCCGCACCTATAAATGATATGTAATATACTTTTATTATAGAATGTATAAGCAAATAAATATGATGGCTAATTTGTGCCATTCGTGTTTTTACCCCGCGTGTTATTAGCGAGGGCGCGGGGTGAAGTTTAATGAATAGAACTTCGCCCCTCGGGGGTGCGGAGCGAGACTTAAGAAATCAAATGGCGGGGTCGCGGGACGAATACACGCTTATTAGCGGGGACGCGGGGCGAATTTCAATAAATATAACTTCGCCGCGCGCCCCCGCTTATTAGCGTGCATTCGTCCCGCGACCCCGCCGTTTGATTTCTTAAGTCTCGCTCAAATTCCCTTGAATTCATTTATTTAAAAAGAAGATCATATAAATGAAATGTAATTTCGTTGGGAAAAAATGAAAATTAAATAATAAATTGGCCATTAAGTTTTACTGAGTTTTTTTACATTACGGGACTGTGTTTAATGTTTTTTATCTCTGAAAGTTGATTTCAAAAATCATGCGTGATTAGTAGTTGTATCATAGTTTGGGGGCTTTTTTGTTAAAAATGTGTCTGAGTTAAATCGTAAACATACATATACATGTAAAGTGCGTGAACTGGAGTGCAGGTAATAGTTACCCGCACTCCAGAGCATGCCCATTGATTGGCTCAGTTTTGATTGGGTTTACTTATTGTGACGACAGAGAAAGGTAAAGCGATACAAATATGATATTCAGATGCTCGTTCATTGGTTACTTTTTTCCCGGGTTTCATATTGTGACAACAAGGAACCTGTTTTATGTTTGACTATCATACAAAAGAGAATGAACATGAAAACACTCGGTTACGCCAGCTCGTACAAATCAGATAGCCCCGTGTTTCGATGCTCTTTCTATTACTTTATCACTATGGAGTGCTGGAAAGTATGTCAAAACCTGTTTTAAAATCTGCATAAAACTAGAAATGCGAACAAAAAAAAAACATAAACAGACAGGTGACGATAGAGTAGTTTGACAGTACAAAAAAGATATACGGACAGTGACGGGTTTGGCCTTCAACGATTGGCAGTCCCGAAGTGTATAGGCTTGTTGCTTTTCTGATACATCGCGTAATAACTATGCAGTGGTACACTTGTTTCATAATTATTACGATATCTATACTTACTAAACGATAAAGTAATTGGACGTTTTACTAATTAATAACCATTTGTCAACAATTAGTCATGTGACCTGGGCAGAGGTGACGGTGAAATTCGAGTTAGTCATAGTTTTAAATATATAGTTTAATAAGAAAAATACTTAGATGATTTAAAATGAAGATTTTTAAAGTATTATAGGGGTTGAGCAATAAAAACGATATCCTTATTTATCATTTCTGCAACTTTTACCAAAAAGTCAAATTAGAGAGTCTGTCATAATGATGACCATTATATAACTATAAATATTATATATTGTCGAGTGAACAAAATAAGCAATTTTAACTAGGATAAAGAAATAGCCGGAAAGTTGGATTTTCAGAAAATATTTGAGAAATACTCTGGAAAAAAAATGTGGTGATATAAAATAAAGCATGCAAAGCGCGCGTTGCGAACGTGTCAATGGCATCGTGTCAAGCTTCAATTTATTGATAATATCCGATATGTTCCGATTGGAGAAAATGTATGTTCATCGTATAACTAAATTCTTGTCATATTTTGTTTTTCTAAAGTTTGTATACGATACATCTTCTGAAGATGGGGGCGACCATATGATTTGATAATCATAATTATAAATGACTTCATTATAATACTGAACGTGCAATTCATATATCATAACTTAAGGTTCATCGTGTGCTGATAAAATATACGTCGGATATTTTTCCTTCTCCCTTAAAAAATCAAAAATGCATCTGTGTTTGCTCTTTTATCTATACTTTTTTGGGTTAACCGACTGTCACAATTGTAATTAATTAAACAGTTCCTCCAATCACATAAAACATCAAAAGCCCGGATCAGTTCGAAAAACTGCGGAAATTTCATCTTAAAATATTCAACGTTCAGCATAACATAATTATATCTAAATCGGCATATATATATATATAATCTATGTTATAAGTCTGGCAAAATAATGCTCCCTTAATTTCTTCTTCTTCTTCTTATTCTTCTTCTTTTACAAAGATATAATCTGGTCATTCTTAAGAGGTTTCTGTTGCACTTAAGTTTAAAGATTAACTGATACCATAATAGCATTACGTGCCTAAAAAGATGAGATAACACCCTGCAAATTAATATGGATAGAAACACTATCTTCCGTTACTAAGTGATTAAGTAATAAAATTGATCTGTGCAAATACAGGTCAACATTTTCATATTACATTTCTTGATTTGCTTTTGTAATAGAACTACATCATCATATCTCCAAGCATTAGATTACCAGTTTAATTCGGCTCTTAGTGCTTAAATTAAGAGTATTCACTTGGTTTTGCCAAGGTCGTTCAGACATTCTCTTTAATTCCGGAGGAAATAAAAGTATCTGTCTATCTGTATCATGTAAAACGTTAACATCAGATTCATTCTGCGGAAGTGGTTGCTATCAGGTACTTACTGGGACGACTGATAAGTGATTATTTAATGCGTACAAAGTATTAATAACTTGCAAATACATAACATGTGTCGTACATTAAATTTTCGAACGGGCGTAGTGTTGCCCATTGGAAACCGTCACGAGTATAAACCCAAGAATCTTGGGTTCGATCTTCTGCTTATAAAAGTAAAATTACTTTAATTAGTCTTTAGGGTCAGTGTTAAGGTGATAAATGCGCATTACATGTCTAAAAAACAGCTGGTTCTTTAACACCCCAGAAAATAGTAGCCAGTGAACGAGTATATGTATATATCGTTATCCCTTTCAAATTTTAAAGCAGTGTAAAATAAATGTTGTAAAATGATTAATGGAAGGAAGAATAATTCACACATGAATCTCAAATATCCGAGACATTTAACTAAAATGCTTGATTCCGAAATCGTATTGATTATTAAAGATATAAGACGTTTAAATGCGTTTCAGAAAAAAAAATCTTTATATAATTTTTGTTAATTTTAGAATGGCCAATAAGGTTACTTGATTTGAGTTTATAATTTTAAATGGAAAATCAAATCTGACTTATATTCAGTTCATCCCTGTTAGTTTTACAGGAAGTCAAACCGATCTCAGACGGAGGTCCGGAAAAATCATTACTTAACGGTTAGAGTCATCGCATAATATTTTGTTCCGGAATATTATATTCTGCTTACACAGTTATCATATGTATTAAATTAAAAAATGACCATTTTCATTATGGAAACAACATATGAGCCGCGTCACGACAAAACCAACATAATGTTTTTGCGACCAGCATGGATCCAGACCAGCCTGCGCATCTGTGCAGTCTGATCAGGATCCATGCTGTTCGCTTACAGACCCTATAACAAGTAAAGAAACTGATAACAAACAGCATGTTTGCAGTCCATGTTGGTTTTGTGGTGACGCGGCTCATATAAAGTTACCGTCATCATGTATAATAAAAAAATAGAGATTTATACAATTTTACATAATTTTATGTAACAAAATCCAAAATTATATTTAATCTGGCGACAAGGCACATTTTCATTATAGCAAGAGTGTTGGGGCGGGGTGGGAGGAGCAGAGATAAAGCACAGACTGGTCCGGACAATATTCCTTTGTGAATATTCACAACTGATCGTTCAGTATAGTATCCATATTTATTACTAGGTTTAAGTACACATACCCTAAAAAAAACAGATGAATACTTATTTCGAAAAAAAAAACAGTTTTCCGCGTTATCTTATCTATTTTTTTCTTCTTATATAAACACATTAGAATCTATATGTCATGAGCTGTGCATTTAACCTACTGTGTGCACATGCCACAATATAACTGATGCATACCAAACAGATAACTGCCTTTGTCTCACCACAGGACCTTCTATCAATATGAATGATAATATCCAAAATATACCCCCTATACAGTATAAATATATGGTTAATATTGATAGAATTTCAAGTTCCTGTAGCCTCACACACTGTCTTATCAATGGGCAATTACGTCATTAAAGTGACATCATTGATAGATTTACACTCGCATGTGTCTGTGTCAAAATAATAATTAATGCATTACCCGTATACAAATAATTCTGTCGCGGAAACAATTTCAAACATCCGGTCACTTATGGTAATTGTAAAGATCTCATAATTGATAAAAGGTACTATTGTGTCAAAGTTTGTTACATTATCTGTGGTGTCGCCTAGCTGGTGTTATTTTTTTTAAAGCGGAGACGTAAACAAGTAAATATGTGTTAACATAATGATGTGTATAATTATAACGACAAATATATAGAATTAAAACAAGTGTAAAAAAGAAATGCTACGATTTGGAAACTTTAACAAGTGTGGTTAAAATAGCAAGAACTATATTCAAAATTAAAGATGGAATTTGTAAACAATAAAGTAAAAAAATGTGTCTCTATCAAGTTGTTCCTGTGTGTTGTGTTTTGTTTTGTTTGCATGACCCTCTTTAGGGAAATGGTGTTAAGTAGACAGATAGTTGACATAACGAAACAGCATAAAGAAGGTTTGTGAATTTCACCTTTAAAAAGCTATTTTTTAAAGTTTTTTTTTTAATTGTTCTAAATATATTTATTTAAAATAACCAGACGAATAATGAAAAACGTGAGACACAAACGTATAACTATAGATATGTTTTAGGGAAAAAAAACAGTACATAGAGGATATTGAAGTTTTGTTTATATAAATACAGGATTTATTTTCATCGAGTGGTTTGAAAATAAATTTTTCACGAAAAGCGATAGCCACGAATGAACAATGATAATTTTCATACCAGAAGATAAAAATTAATAAATCCTGTATTTATAGATAAAAACTTGAATTTTTCTCTTTATTTATTTTAATTTATTATTATTATTATTATTATTATTATTATTATTTTTATTATTGACATTACATTTTGAAAGATTTACTGTAGATCTACCCTTGAATTATGTGTATTGGGTAAAATAAGAAAAGTAGTCTTGCAAGACACTAGTGAAAATACTGAAAATATGATTCACTGCAGCGAAAAAAATTTTTTCAGAGTGACAATACGGAAAATAAAAATAGATCTACACATTTTATTTCATCAATATTCAAATTTCATTTATAAGAATATAACAAATTTACTTAAAAATATATAAAGGGCAATATTTTTACTTTTCTAGTTAAAATTATTAAATTGTACGGTTAAACCTGTAAATAAAGATCATCAAAAGTAGATATAGAACGTGACCTTTATAGAGAAGTGGTATTTATTTGGAGGTACAATATCTTTGTTCAATCAACGAGGTCTTTATTCACAGGGTGTTCTTTAAAGGGTGTGGTCTTGACACAGGTTTTCCTATATAATTATGCATACACGATATTTCCCAAATGTAATAAAAACCTTATATCTACAGTAGACATATACTAGATCTAGATACGCGTACATGATTAAATTTTGTTTAATTTAACTGTATACAGTATAATAATGAGTATTCAAGGAAATTTGTGACATAGCTTCCTGTGTCATAATTGCAAAGGAAATACATGTAAATTTACAACTATGTATTATTGTGAAAACTTTAAAGTTTTAGGGCCTGATTAAGGACGTGCACATTTTTATGTAGTATTATAATATCCACCATACCTGTCTTTACAATAAAGATGCTTTATAAATTTTCTAAAATAAAAACAGAAAGGCATTCGATTTAATTCATTCTAGAATTCCATTAGAGTAAGTACAGTAAATATACGTACATGTATAGTAATGATATTCATCATAAGGGACTTTAAAGGGCTACTTTTTGTAGATTTAAAAATGCAAAATCAAATAATAATTAAACATGACATAAATAAAATTAAACATTACAATTTAAACATTAAAGCGAGTGTCTCAAAGTGTTAAAGCATCGGGGTAAAATTTGTAATTTCTCTGTTTGTACACATGGGTTTTATTTAAATTTGCGGGTATTTTTTACTTTTTTATGTTTAATTTATTATTAGTAAATTTCAAGCCCGGGGGCTAGAGGGCCTTGATGGTAAATTGGGACCTACCACTTTCTTCAAGAGAGACCCCAAAAATTTTAAAAACTGAAAAAGAGTTTTCCCGGTTTTTTTTTACCGAATTTTTTTTAAAACAGTGTTTTAAAGTATTAAGTAATGTTTAAACACGGACTTGAATTGTAAATTTAAGTACATGGTTTTTAGATATTAAAATATGCACTTCTACATGCACTTTTAGATAAGCATGTAAATTAATATTTTTCTTGCTTTCACTAGTATGTAGGTTTTAACAATCTATATTGACTGATATTTTCAAATGTGCAGTTGTGCAGGCTTAGAGAGCAACAATAGTGATGTTCCTGTTTGAATTATAATTCAAATGTCTTGCGCCGTTGCAGGTAAACCTCACATATCGATCAGTTAGGCGGGACTTCATGCGAATAGGTCTTCTCCACGTGTATTGAATCTATTGATCGGCGGTAAATATCTCACATGTAGCAGATTTCTTTAAACGAATACATATCTATCATTTCAGTAACACAGATGGCGCCAGGAATTCGACGATATATTGATCAAATATCTTCAATACAAGATAATTGTGAGTATAAAAAAACTTACAAAGTTTTCTAAAATATTGTGTCTTCTTTATCTTTATTTTATTTATTTTTGATCGCCTTATTTTTTTTACAGCTAGTACAATTAGTTACTTATCTTATCTATCAAATCATGGAAAATTGTTGGTTTTTGCTATCCAGCTAGCTCACGAAAGGTCGGTGGTTCTGCCGTCCTTTTGCATTGCCATTTAATATAATATTTTCAAACTTGCATTGCTGTGTGTCGTTTTGCATTATTGCAATTTCATTACGAATCGTCACCATGCTAGGGGCGTCCGATAAGTGGTAAAGGTCGTTTACTTTTTCCCCGCCGTGGGTTCGAATCCTGACATGGACTTTGGATTTGTTTATCAGGATAGCTTACGGAACGTCCGTTGTTCTAGGTGCCAATTTGTGACTGAAATAACCCAAGGAAAGGTACCGGAGGTCTTCCACCACCACTAAAGTTGAAAGTCGCCATATGACCTATATTGTGTTGATGCCACATAAAAAGGTCACAATACTGTTGGCGAAAACAAGTAATGTCATGTCAATGAATTTTACTTTCTGTTATCTTTATCCTCAAACAACTTTAGGACTATTAGATGAAATGCGTTAAGTGTCTGGTATCTTTTTCAGCGCAAGATAAGGTACAGACAAAGAATAGCCGTGTGCTTTGTTTAATATTGACGTCATACATCACGTTCAGGTCACGTGTTCCTGCTGTAAATGCAACATGGGCCAGGCGATGTGACAAACAGTTTTATGTGCTCAAAACAGAAAAGAAAGCTCCTGATATTATCAACTCCCCTTTTGAGGAAACCAGAAACAATATAGTGCATAAAATAAAATTTGCTTTAAGTTACATTTACGAAAACCACATTGACGATTTTGATTGGCTTATTAAAGCTGACGACGATACGTACGTCATTATGGAAAATTTGAAATTTTTGGTACAAAATCTAGATGGTCAAAAGCCAGCATATCTTGGCTTCCATTTTGACAAATTCGTACAGAATGGATATATGAGTGGTGGTGCAGGTTACGTCATCAGTAATCGTGCTCTTCGTAATTTGGTGCAGCTCGGATTTTATCCGGAAAAATGTCCGGTTATTCCTAATAAGGAAGATCCTGAAAATAGCGAAGATATAGAGATAGGCAGGTGTCTGAACAAAACAGGGGTGCCTGTAATAAACTCTCTCGATGAAGAAGGGAAAGAAAGATTTCATCCATATCCTACTCAAAAACATTTGTTTGGTTCTATTCCTAGATTTGTATTCGAATGGGCGAAAAATCCGCACAATGAGGTTTGTTTTTCCCCACTCTTTTAGTATTGCATGTCACAAATAAACCTATTTGAATGCATAAGTAAATTAACAAGGTTAAGTATCTGATTTAAAGAAAGATATTTCGCTTTATATAGCGATGTTCTTTCTAATTTTGGTTCTCTGAACAATTGTTCCGGTGCATTTATAATCTTAAGAAATTACAAATGCATGTATGCTTCACATATTCGTGAAACATTAGCAAAAGTTTGTATCGTCCTGAACTCTGAACTTGGTAGCACAAATACAAATCGTTCACCTAAGATTTTTAAATACATTTGCATACGAAATTTCTGAACGACTTATTTCCGAATGTTGTACTAACTGTGTCTGTTTTGTTAATGGCCAATGCCATCAGATTGGATCAATATTAAAGTTCATATAGATTCACTGTTTTTAAATGTTTTTGAATTTTTAAATTATTTAACCACGTAGAAAGAAATATATATCAAATATATATATGTGCACCACCGTTTGTGCTTCTTAGAGAAAAACAATCGTTTTTTTCAGGGTATGGCCTGCTGTAGTAAGTACTCTATCAGCTTTCACTACATGGATCCGGCCTCCATGCTGTTAGTTGATCACCTTCTATACAGAACTTCCGTAGCCGGGTTAGACAGGGTGAATTCAAAGATTACATGATGATCTTGCCAAAGAAATAGCTTCTTACTTACATTTAATTACGTTTTGATGTGTGCATGTCATGTGTCAGTCATAGATATCTGCTTTTGGAAACTATGACGTCATGACCCTACATGGTCAAATAGGTGATACTAATAAGAGAGCCAACGATTGCGATATTCGCTAAATGAGAAAGACGTGAACCATATTTTTTCTCGAAAAGGGAATTGTTTGTGAAATTATATGCAGCGGAAAGAATGCCTAGATTTATGTACCAATGCATAACTTGCCGTAAGTTTGCGATTGGCTGTTGAAATAAAATTGTCGACGGAATATGAAGTCATCATCCATGACTGTAACGACCACACCAGTGCCATCCATTTATTATTTCTAAACTATTTAAATTGTGTTGTTAATGGCAATGATGATAAAATATGATCTTTTGCAATCAGAATTTGGATTCCTAAAATGGATTCAACTATAGCCCAAAACACATGAAAACCAAATCCTACAATTAACTGACAAAACATTTATTATATACTTGTGTGTAACATAAAAACAGGAGTCTTAAAGACCATCATGAATACATTGTTGCATAGTTTAAAATGGTGTAGGTCTATATCAATTATACCATTTTTAAAGATAACAAAGTTCATTGCATCACATGAGTGAGAAGTTGATATTGAAAACCTCGCGACATATGTTTGTTAATTTTACAATATTTTAACGACATTTTAACATTCCGTCCACAAGCAAAGTCATTACTTTATGTCTATAAAATGTGAGTGCAGCTGCTGTATAGAAAAGATAATGCTGAAATCCAAAAATTAACAAATACAGGTTTTCCTTTTTAGCTCGACTTTTTTTAGGTACATGTGTATTGTTATAGACTCAGAGCAACAGATAAGGTGCGTATTTGCGTATTTACGCATTTAATTTTATAAAATACGCAATTGATTTTTTATGAGTGCGTATCAAAACCCATTAAAAAAATTAAAATACGCAATTGTCTTAAAATCCCGTGCGTATTGTCATTTTCATCACCGCAAAATTAATCTGTCGTACACTCGTTGTTTTGGACAAATTATATCGATATACAAATATATCCGAATCAATGCCAACTAATCAACGGTCTCCGGTCTTCGACGGTCCCCGGTCTCTAAAGACCAACTAAGCATGAGACCATCGATTTGTCTACTCAGGTTGACGGTCTTTACAGACCGGCAGAGACCGTTGATTTTGCGGAGACCGTCAATAAATAGGTCCCCACTGTAACAATAGACGCTTTGAAAAGCAATATGGCGTCGTACAAAAGGGAAAATGATTTGAAACAAAACAGTCGCAAATAATCAAAAATCAGTCAGAAAACGAACTTGTTAAAGATATTATGTAATACAACATGAGCATTTTAGATAAAAAATAAAACAATTGTGAAAAGTTCTAGTAAATTGTTAATCCTATTTTCTTTTTAAAACAGTTAAGATAGATCTATCTAAATTTAATTTTATTGATATTGAAACCATAAAATTCATATCTTCATAATTAAATACCCAATTGATCTTGAAATCATAGGGTATCGAGTTTTTGAATGCCCAATTAAATTGAGCCAATACCCAATTCCAAAGATAATGATGGAGTAATACCCAATTCACTTTTAAAGCTTATCTGTTGCTCTGTATAGTCATGTCGGCGTTGCCGTTGACGTTGCCGTTGCCGTCCGCAAACTTGTACGTTGATCATAACTTTTTAAGTTCTTGGTTATTGTCTTCGTACTTAACCACAACTACTATTGGGGCAATATCTTTTAATAGACCACACTAACTCTGACCTTCATCCGTAAATGACCTTGACCTTCAAGGTTAAATGTCTAATTCACTGGTTTTTGTAGTGGCTATTACTTTGTTATTTATGAACTGATTGTCTTCAAACTTGAACATAATAATCTTTTAGGATAGACCTTTAATTTGACTAGACAGACCTTGACCTTTACTCATAAATGACCTTGATCTTTAAGGTCAAATTTCCAAATTTGCTTGTTTTTTGCTTTTAGTGCCTATAACTTTGTTATTTTAGAATGAATTGTCTTCAAACTTGAAAATAATAATGTTTAAGGATAACCCTTTAAGTGAACCAGACAGAACTTGACCTTCATTCACATAGGACCTTGACCTTGAAGGATAAATTAATGGAATTTTCACTTTTTATGGATTGACTTCATATTATAATAGAATATTCTTTAGGATAAGACCTTCATGTATATCAAACTCAAATTGACCTTGGCCTTATTTTGACCTTGACCTTGAATGTTAAATTATTGCATTTTCACTGAACTTATATATATTCTTTTCGATTTGTTTAAACCGTTTGTTTGTTTGCTTTAAGAAAAAAGAAAAAAAAGGCGAGCATTGCCCCGCCCGCCCGTATTTTGTTACAGTTTCAAAAAAACCACTCATTCCTATATACAAAACTTATTCATTTGAAGTTCTGTTAAAGCCATTTCCATTAACTATATCATAACTATGCTTAAAGGCCCATTATATTTCAGAAATGTTATCATTTTTATTTATAAAATTTTGTTACAGTTTCAAAAATAAATATACATTTGCTATATAAACTATCTTACGCATCTTAAGTTATGTTTGCAATTTGTATAATTATATTGAATAAGTATTTTGTATGGAAGTCAAAAAACTACTTTTTTACATTTTGCTACCTTTGCGACACCAAACTGCATGCTGAGCACAACTTCTTTTCAGTTATAAATCATCTAACATGCTATTTATCCGTCATTCAAACACATTTAAATAATAACAGTGAAAATGAACTAATCATCAACGTGTACAGTATATATGGTATTTTTCAAAAAACAATTTAAAGTTCAACCTAAAGAAACTTGGCACAACTCCATAATTTTCCTGGCAATTTTCCAAAACTCTATCTATTTTTAGAAAACTTTATTAATTTTGTTACTATTTTTATATATCACGTGACTTACCATCTTACACAATTTTTATACTTTAGCTAGATTTATACTTTGTAAAATTTATCCTGATGAAGAACCAGATAGGTTCGAAACCGGTAGATCTTTTATTAAAATTTTGTTAACATTTATCCGGTGTTGACGTGTGGTTTCTTTGAATTCTTCCTTTTTATCCACATTTAAATAATGTTTGATATTTCTAAAGAATTTATAAAATATGGATATCTGAGGCATAATGGGCTTTTAGATTAAAAGCTCTCATAATTGTTTCTATCACTAAGATAGCGGTGCTTAAGTACAATTTCCCTTGACAAACCGGTATTTAAAACCATGCGAGGTTGTCAGTAGGATTTCTAGTACTGTATATTATCTTATAACATATCTTAACATTATCAATGTAATCAAATGTATTATCTAATACCTAATTAAGTATCACATTATATTTTTTGTCATCATGACCACGTGACGTGATAATTGTTTTGTTTATGTATTTGTATGGTGATGTAGGCCTACTATGTACTAACTACCTACTATCTACTAAGTCTTAAATAAAATGTCTGTTCTATTATGTTCTAAAAGAGTTTGACAAATCACTTAAAGTGTATAAGAAAATATATCTGATACAAAAATTATTGTTTGGATTTTAAAAAGGAATACTGCCAAAATGCTTATTGGGTTAAATATGGTAATTAATTGTCTTAAAGCGAATGGCGCATGCACAAAATCATTGCTGAATGGGATTATACAAACCCTACTTAAAATAGCGAAATGATATTTTGTTCTGGAACATTTTATTCTGGTTATGTACATTATTCATGTGTGTTAAATAACAGAGACATTCTAAGTTACAACTTTTTCGGGAATCAACCATATAATAAACCAATATAATTTTACTGTTGATAAATTTTATAAAAAAATATCTTAAACGATATCGATTTATACCCTTTAATTCAGCTGTGTATATTGTTTTTTTCGTGGATTGCCAGTTATCTAATCACAGAGCTATATTTAAATGTAATTCAAGTCAGAATATTGACCCCTCCCCCACCGAAAAAATGACACTTTTGGAAAGGGAGAGAAGTATTGTAAAAATCGAGAATTACCTATATACAATGATTGTCTTCCGTTATTACTCTAGCCACTTTATATTAGTAATAAAATACATGTTAATTTTTTCTATTAAAATTGTATTTTGTAAAACATTTCTTGACTTATATACTTCCATAACTGGAGATGATGATGAATATAATGATGATGATGATGATGATAATGATGATGATGATGGTGATAATGATGGAGATGATGATGATTTTGATGATGATGATAATGATGATGGTGATGATTTAGATGATGATAATGATGATGATTTTGATGATGGTGATAATGATGATGATTTAGATGATGATGAAAATTATGATGGGGATAATGATGAGGATTTTGATGATGATAATGATGATGGTGATAATGATGATTTAGATGATGATGATTTTGATGATAATAATGATGATGATGGTGATAATGATGATGATTTAGATGATGATGATAATTATGATGGGGATAATGATGAGGATTTTGATGATGATGATGATGATGGTGATAATGATGATTTAGATGATGATGATTTTGATGATAATAATGATGATGATGGTGATAATGATGATGATTTAGATGATGATGATAATGATGATGGTGATAATGATGATGATGATGATCATGATGATGAGGATGAGGATGGTGATGATGATAAGGATGATTCTGATAATGGTGATGATGATGATGATGCAGATTCTGCGAGTTTTAATGGTATTTTATTTTACATTGTTCAAATTGCCTTAATTAAGTTAACCGATAAGGAATATTATATAATTTTGCCATTGTTTATTTGTTTGACTACAGGCATTGTCGGGTTCTAGTTACTTCTCTTGAAGTAATATTAAAATGTATATGGGTTTAAACATTATGCACATTATTCTTATATCGAAATATTGTCTTCACACGTTTTAGTAGCAAACATATCAATGACTAATTATTGTTTCCATGCCACCATAAATACTGTACAAAAAAATTTAACGTACATGTATTTTAAAATGCATGTACACAGTTTATTTTACACATTTGAACGTTTTATACATTTCATTTATATTTTAAGTATTTGTATATATTTATGATATGATGTACACTAAGATTCAAGAGTATATTCAGCATAAACATAAAATATATGCATTGCTATAGATATGATATAATATGCATGTTATAATACAAGAAAACACAAATACAATAAACGAATATAAACGAACAAACAAATCTGTGAACTACATTTGAGAACAACGTAAAAAAAATGTTGTTGAGAAAAGTGTAAAGAAAAAGTACATTGTAATATGTATTTAAACAGTAAAATTTATAAATTATACTATTTTGTTATAACTGTAGCTATGTATTTATATATTTTGCCAGTTTATTTATAATACTTTTTCGGGGTAAATGAGTACAAATAGGCAGAGTATGTATTTATAACAACACTTAGATAAACCTTGCGATATTTTAAGTATCTGGTGCGAAAAACCCATTCTTTTTTTAACATGTAATATTTATATCTACATAATACGTGTTGCGTATCTAAATTTATACGGAATCGAATAAGTGCCATTTAAATATTTAATGTCGCCCCTAAATTCGTGCACATGGGCATTAGCATAAATGGTTTATCAAACGAAACCTATATAAATTTTATTTGCAGTTACGAGCGTGTTATTCCGATTCCAAAAGAAATACACATCATTCGGTCAAAACTTCTGCACAGTGGTCGCCCAGGCCGAAGCCAGCTAGAATAGTCTGGATTCAACAAGTACCACTTGACACGTGATATATTTTTCTACACGTGCTTTCATAGTTGTATTTGAGCCGCGTCACGACAAAACCAACATAGTGGGTTAGCGAACAACATGGATCCGCGCAGTCTGATCAGGATCCATGCTGTTCGCTATCAGTTTCTCTATTTGTAATAGGGTATGTAAGCGAACCGCATGGATCCTGATCAGACTGCGCGGAGGCGCAGGCTGGTCTGGATCCATGCTGGTCGCAAATGCATTACGACGCGGCTCATGTATATGTTACTACTTTATCAGTTAAAATTGATCTTCTCCAATGATGATGATTGTTGATATTATGTATATAATTATGTTTATGTCATGCACTTTGTTTTGCATGTTTTGTGTCCTGATGGACTTTATTAATGCCTGTTTGAATAAAATAAAATGTCTACTGTCTATAAAGCATTGGTAAACATCTTCCTAGTTTTAATAATCTTAATGTGTATTTATGATAATAATGTGCTATCTGGTTACACTAGAACTAGCCAAACATATTTATTTCAAAATAAACAACAACAAAACACAGAAACATTACTATGTCTAAAATTTTATGAAATACTTATCCGCTTTATATACTTTAACATCTAATTATATCAGAAACGGTAGTCCATTTAAATACGTACATGTATATCAGATAGAATTATATATATATGCTTATATCATTACACAAACTGTCTATAATTAGCGGAAGAAAGGAACCCTAGTTCGCTTTTCAGGGAAAACCCATATGGTTCCTATTTTTAGCATTAAATACATGCCGAAATTTAAAATGATTCCGCAACACGTTTACCTGTCACTTGCATTTTTCTACCTATTTTTTTACATCTACGCAATGACGGAAGGTAAGAATTGTTTATTTATTTATTTATTTATTTATTTATTTATTTATTTATTTATTTATTTATTTATTTTATTTATTTATTTATTTATTTATTTATTTATTTATTTATTTTTAACACACGAAGATAGAAGATAAAGAGTCATATATAAAACAACATATCTTTAATAGATACGGTCTTCTATATACAATATAAAAAATACAAACACACACTATATACTACTCTATCTACCCTCGTTCAAATCTACTTTTATTCATGTGTATTGAACAGTATATAACTTGAGATAAAGCTCGCGTTAAAGTCTACTAATTACTGTAATTTTATTGAAACCGGAGTAAGTTTCGTTTTTGTTTCTTTTTTCTTATTCGAATGGATTTATATTTACATTTATATTAACAACAATAATAATTATGGACTTAAGTTTACGATCTGCTGTATTTGTGGAAGAACCTGTTTACATTATATAAATCACGGACGGACGATAGTTCATAATCCAGTGTAATATGTGTTAGCAGTGTTTTAGTAACTTTAAAACACTTACAGATGACATTTTTTTTGTAGGAAATTGTGGAAAATATTATTACTACGATGCACCTACAGGGCAGTGTAGGGATTGTGGATGGCTATGTGACACGCCGGCTTCTTATCCAGTTTCTTGTGACTGGCTTTGCCCAGGTTTGTAATTTCTCATCATTTAAACGTTCATTTGGGGTTAAAGAGTGTCAATCTTATTCGTATTCGTATTGAGTGTTTCTTTGCCTTATAAAAATTCTTACAAACACAATGCTGAAAAACCCATGGATGTTGTGTGAGATATATAGGGACAAATGATCAAGTTGTTTCTGAGCCCCAGTCTTCATAAAATTTTACGGGACAGATAGTCTTTCATATATTGTAAGGAGGACAACTCATACTGATATTTCAAGTGCGAGTTGTCTCCCTTACTGTCACAATTGCCTGAGCCACGTATGTACAAAGTCATAAAGTCGACATTCATAATTGTTCAATAATATTTTCTTATTTAATCTGTTTCTTATTTCAGATTACGCAGCTAAAAATCGCGTGACACCACAACCTCCTTCTCAAGATAATAGCTTGGAATTAAACATACCTGTTTTGGTTATAAGCGTAAGCGCTTTTTTGATCCTCGCGGCATTATTATACTTGCTATGGAAGAAAGTTTTGAAGAAGAAGTTTCGTAATATTCTTGAAACTTTCCGGAACAGAAAGTTACGACGCCCAGTCCAAGCTCAGAATGGCAACGACGGGGTTCAGTATGAAATGGAACGACTCACCAGCATTGACTCTAATCTTGACAACGCAGGTTCATTAGACAGTGTCGTCGGTGATTTTGAGGAGGAAGTTATCGCTTCTCTAAACTACATAGAAGCGAATGGGTTGTCTCCAACACACAGAATCGATGAACTTCATCTGCCTAATATCACATATGAATCCGAGAATATGGACAGTTTTACAAGCGGTGATTTTAATTTTGGAGAAACATTTCCATTTCATTGGCTAGAATCTCTGGACAACGTGTTGGAATTCAGTAGTGATGATACGCATAGAAAAAGCTAAATGTTGTTGTATTTTTTGTTGTTTTTACGTTGTTATTTTTCCCACAAAATAAAATAATGAATATGTTTTATCTTGTGTATTTAATTATTAGTAAAATCTGAGCAGCCATGTATAGTAATATGGGAAGGCACGACGTAAACTATATGGTAGTGAAACAATGATTTTTTATAAGTATATGTATGCCTTTTACTTAAGTTCAATTGAAATTACAATTTTAAAATGCAGAGATAGTACATCGACCGGTCCCTAAATTATAAACATTAACTACTCGGCCAGCGTTATTACTATATCTAATATAGACCCATGCCCAATACAAATGAGTTTCGAAACGTATGGGACGTTTCCTTTTATTAGGGAGCTGCCTGGCTTAATTACTAAAGGTGACTGGTAATATTTCGGTACCCGATCGTGTTTGCACAGCTGTCGTTGGAGACATGGCTATGTGATACCTATAAATGTATGTTGGCTGATAATTTCCCTTTTCCGCGATCAGTGATTTTACTCACTTTATTGGGAAAAGGTCTTAGCTTAGATTTATTGCTAAAATGCCTATATTGGGATTTGGGAAGTACAGAAAGCAGGTGTAACTTGGGATATTTGAGAAAACTGCATTATTTTAAAGAACATTCTTATTGGGAAGAGGCCTTTAATAAGTGGCCTCTCTTTTGTAAGGTGACAATCACATCAATATAATATAGGATATTAACTAAATATTGGCATCTACAAAATAGATGAATTATAAAATGAAGTATTTGGCCGAAAGATGTGTATGAGATAAGTCTACAATGAGTCGTAATGTGAATAACGACGCATTATTAGATTTCTATTTTTAGAAATGGAATCACCCAAATGTTACTATAAATAATTAAATAATTAATAAACTACTATCAACAGGTTTCCCCCTCATATTTTATTATTAAAAAACGAAAATCAATCTACACCCCGTCAACCACAAACACACGCGTGCACACAAAAACCTACATGAAGGATTTCAAGGACTTGTGCATCTGTGTTACATAATCTAAAACTGCATGTTAAATCGAGCAAGCCGGAATAACTTGGTTTTAGTGATTAGATAATTCAATTAAAAAAATCTGTATTTAGTGGGAATGATCATATTTTGTAGATCATATAATCACTGTTGGGGGCCACGGCTACCAGATTAACCTTTCTACTCTGTATAGCCATAAAAGGGAAAGCACTCGAGATTTTGTTTAGTTGTTTCCCTTCTTAAAATTAGTATATTAAAAATAATTTTCAATTAATAACGCCGTGCAATCGTAGTAAAGGCGCAGTCTAGTGTTAAAGGCATGCTGGGTTTATATTATTAATAAAATGCTTATTTTCATTTTCGTATTTTCACTGTAAAAAAGTATTTAAGTGAAACATATTTTCCGTGTTTTCACTGGTGTCTTGCCGGACTACTTTCTTTTAAATTCTGCCAGTACACACAATTTAAGGAATAGTTTTCCAAATTGTAATTTAAAAATAGAGACAAATGTATATAATTAACAGAAAATTCAAGTTTTTTTTCTATAAATACATGATTTATTTTCATCTGGTGGCATGAAAATTATCACATTTCTCTCGTTGAGCTACCGCCACTCATAAAATATTTATTTTCATACCACTTGATGAAAATTAATCATGTATTTACAGAAAAAACTTGAATATCCTCTATGTATTTTTTACATCTTTTGCATATTTGTCCGTTTCAAATGTCCATGCCTTTTTATCTATGTAAGAATTTTTTTATGTGTTTAGGTTTTAGGACCTCAGTTAAATACCTTAACAAACTTATATATTATAAACCGATTTTAACTTTAAGGTCCCAGCTTCTTTCAATATTCATTTTGATACCACTTCCAATTGTTCTTGCGTTTTAATGCTCGAATGACGAATAAAAACTGTTTCGCGCATGTCAAGTGATGGTGTGCCAACCACGTTAACTTTTTGGTCCAGGCGGGGAACAATAGTTTCATAGCAAATTAAATCGAGATCGAAAAATATTTTGCTGGCGTCTTTAACGGATTAGTTTTTTTTTGTGAGAATCAATCAGTGGTTAAACATACAAGAGCTCAAGATTCATGGTCGAGTGATTTTCCATGCTCTTTACTGTTAGCTACATATGCGTGAAGTCTGTGAGAGGGATGTGACGGAAACGAAACATTTGGAATTATTTCTTTTATTTTAGGACGTCAAAGAACTAAGTATCAATCAAAAATGTGAGTTATTTTGTATTTTATTAAAACTATATAGCCGAAACGTAATATTATTACAGATGAAAATCGGGAAAGCGTTACTGATTTTTTTTAAGGAAAAAATGTAAATATTACACAGAAAATCCGGGATTATTATGTTATTGTATCACATAAAATTTGTAAATTATCAAATATTTTAGGTAGGCACAAGTTAAATTTTCCATGAATAAGGACTTTAATTAGAAATTAGCATTAATCATAAGAATTATGCATGTTAAACTTTTGATTTTTCATTTGACGTTTCGATCATAGTTAACGGTATTTTTTACTATTAAAATCATTATTCATATAATTTACTTACCATTGTAGCCATCTAATCAACAGGCTGGTGCAAATGCCCGATTGGGCTAATTATGACATAAACAATCATATTTCTAGAAAAATAATGAAGATATTTCCATTAAACTTTGTTTGTTTATTGAGCATAGTGTATAACAAAAAAACAGAAAAAAAAATATTGGTAACTGTCACTTTTGTGAGAATTATTTCCCCCCTGTTCATATTTATATAACACATAATTTTCCAAGTCCTTACATATAGAAAGTATAAAACAAAATAGGTTAAATAACTTCTTTATGATCCTATTCATTGCGCCAACACCTGTCAGCCTACATTTCATTCAGTTTTCAAAAGAAACTTCAAAGTATAATGTTCAGTGTCAAAGAATTGTCAAAGTATTTATGCCAGAAACAGAATAATAAACCCAAATATGTAGAATAAAGGTTCTGGCGAAATAATTTTGAGCAAAATATGAAGATGTTGGACACATTTCTGTTAAGAATTTTACATGGCAACATATTTTTTTTTTACATGGCAACATATTTTTTAAGGAATTCAAATTGTCACAGGTTCATAAACGTACATGTATAAATGTTTTATTGTTTGTCCTTTTAAATGTCCTATAGCTTTAATTTTCATCATACGTTTCATTCATCCCCATATAAATCATATACTAACCACCATTACGGGCCTCTCTATTCATTGATTAACTACACTACGCATGCGCAATATTTTGAAAGATTTAAATGGCGAGAGCCGCGAATAAAGTTATATGAAAGCGCATACTTTGTGTATTTACAGGTAAATTGGTAGATTGTTTTGATGCTCTGATTCATACTTTCCATTTTGTCATTCATTATTTTCAGTGATAGTTTGTATTTTGCACAATTTTGAAAGATTTTGATGGAAAAGAGTCAACTCGGCCAGATACACCAACTCGGCACGGGTCAACTCGGCCCACTTTACAAATATATATATAACGTATTTTAATTAACTTTGCTTGGCATATTGTTAAGGTAAATGAATAATAAGACATATTTTATTGTTATACATTGTACTTCTGCCGAAATAAAGTATATTTAGAAAAAAATTGTTATTTATTTGTCTTGCAGATTCGATAGAATTAATATAGATCTAGTAAAAATGTGTTTCCGTAGATGCATTTTGTTTGTAAAGTAATATTCCAAAAAAATATGAAACAAAAACGTGTTTACTTAATATCATAAGCTTCTAATATTGCAGGTGGTCACTGATCAAATTTGAGTGAAGGAGTCAATCATAATTATCACCTAATTAATCGGTATCTTTAACCAGAGACATAGATAACACTCTGCTTTAACATACTGATTGATAATAATAGCCCGTGACAATAGGAGTTCTTTAATGTCTGTTTTCAATTACCTTTTATTTCAATATCTATCATTTTTATAGCTCTAGATCTTATTTTCGTAAAATTTTCAACATTATATCTAGCGACATTACCTTTTCCATACAAATCTTATTAATATACAGATGCTTATGTTTTTTAACACAATAATGTATGAACTAATGTTTTTTTTTAAGAAAAAAAAACCTAAATGCGTTATAGAACAAAGATACAGAGAGCGGATTATAAATAAATATTGTTTAAACTAGAACAAAGATGCAGCATGTAAATATCATTTATAGCTCTGTTAACGTGTCTTTTTATATATATAGCGGACCAACAAGACGTCAGTTTTTTGGAGATGCACAAATCGATTATAAATAATTACAATAATTACAATAAATAGTGATAACACAAACCTAAATATTAATAATTGAAAAGTGGGCCGAGTTGACCTGTGCCGAGTTGGAATAGAGCCGAACTGACTCGGGGGCCGAGTACGTTTTAGGGCCGAGCTGACCCGGATTTGATTTTGATGGCAAGAGCCGCGATTCTTGATTTCTATTTAGCCATGATTCTTGATTTCTATTTCTAATAAAATTATTTGAAAGTGCACAATGTGTGAATTCACAGGCCCTCTGTCCAGGTCAGAAGTATCTAAACCCACAGCGTTCATTAGACATCTTTATCTTTTGGACTGCGACAATTGGCGCCCAACAGGGGGCTTTGGCTGCCACAACCCTGGAGTTATGGGTGGATTATTCCAGGGACGAATGTTGAGTGGTGTTCAGTCAGCCATTTTGTTTATGTACATGAATGCAGGATGTAAACAATGGTGGAATGTGTAAGTTTTATCTTATTTCAACGTCAGTTAACCATTGGCAGTGATTTATTGCGATATTCTGAAATGAATTAGACCAGATTTATATGTGCACGATTGTTTTCTTGTAAATTATTAGCTAGCAACTGGATCGATTTCTACTTACGTTTTCTAATTGGTACCATATAATGGCATATTTTGCGATTGACAACACAGATGACATTTTCTATTGGAACGTTTAAATAATTCATAGAAGTGTGATACATTTAAGGACTTGGCACTGTTTTAGTCAGCTTCAGTAAATTTGAGTGTTATTAATATATATAATAGGACTTTTAAACTAAATAGAATTTATTGACTACATTGTATATTGTACGTGTCGTGTTATTTTTCTATTTTTGTGATTCTCAATATTTTATTTAAATTTCAGATTTGACATTGAACTGGTTGTTATATTGAGTCAGTAGTCAGCTTGAAGAATCACAGTTGAAGGGTTGTTCATCTTGGCAGAAGGATCTTAGCATGTTTTCTATAACAGTACTTTTCTGGTGATTGGTGAGAATCTTACTAACATTTCCCATCATAAGCCCTTAACATTAAGGCTTTTCCTTACATAAAGATCTCTCCCATTTCCAATATGCATATATTTGCCCTTCCTTGATGTACCTGTCTCTATTTGGATAATATAGCATATATATTTATGTTTATATTATGGCGATGTGTTTGGAAGTCAGCTTAGTAGGACAGATATTTATTAGAAACCTTGAACATGTATAGTTTGTCAGTGGTGCTGGTAAGTTATGGTAGTTTAAAGTGTAGTCTTCAACTGATCATGTTGTGAATACATTTAGTAAGAGTGCCTTTGATGGTAAAGGAACTATATTGCTTCTCTTGAGATCAGGACAGATTGTTGATTTTCTCTTTTGTTACATTGAATGTGACTCCAGTGAAATCTTTATATATTGGAGAATGTGACTGTCTATATATTTGTTTACAGGTCAATAAATATATAACAGGCCTGTGAGTTCATCAAATATTCCAAAATCTGATTTTCCCTCTTTAAGTTCTTCCACTGAGAAGTATGTTATTCGGCAGCGAAGGAAGTCCACTTTAAATCCCAGTGCTGAAGCATTTTATCCAAATCTTCCAACCCCTTCCAAGAAAAAATTTGCATAGTTCTCATCCACTGATTGGATAACTTATTTATATTGCTGAAATTAAGTATAAATTTGTTTGAAATTAATCAGTTGATATGTTGTTGAACAGTGTGTGTTTTGTTTCAGATGTGAAAGTCTCGGATACAGTAGTAGAATCTTTGGATTCTCATGACAATTCAGACAATTGCTCATGTTGCTTTCAAACATTTTTTGCCACTATAATTCCTAATAGAACATTAATAAATAATCAAAAAATTAGATTATAATTAGCAATTATGATTAATTTTAATCTAAATAATTTCATGAGTATTATAGGCCTGATACTCATACTGAATCTGTCTTGATATCAAGAGAGCAAGGTGGTTCATTTACTATTTGTTACTGTAGTATTAGTACCAGTTACATAGTAATGTAGTAATTTAAGTAGTCCTTGCGACAGGTATAGTATTTCTGAAGTAGTGCCATGGATACAGCTGCTTAGTACGCAGTTGTGTGTTTGAAATGTCGGGACGACATTTTTCCTGTGAGGGGAAGGATGTCGCAGGTTCATATATGTACATGTTTATATGTGTTATTGTTTCTCCTATTAAATGTCCTATAGCTTTAATTTTCATCATACGTTTCATTCATCCCCCAATAAATCATGTACTAACCACCATTACAGGCCTCTCTATCTAACTTTCTACTTCATTGATTAACTACACTACGCATGCGCACTATTTGAAAGATTTTGATGGCGAGAGCCGCAATTCTTGATTTCTAATAAAATTATTTGAAAGCGCATAATTTATGTATTTACAGGTAAATTGGTAGATTGTTTTGATGCTCATACTTTCCATTTTGTCATTCATCATTTTCATTGATATTTTGTATTTTGCACTATTTTGAAAGATTTTGATAGCTAGAGCAGGGATTCTTGATGATTGACGTGTGATATGTAAAAAAGATGGCCATGTTGATGACAATCTTGTTGTTTATGGTATGTTGGTGAGGACGTCCATGGGTGTAACAATGATAATGAAATGGCGTTGTTCATGGTAGTGAGCAATCATCAGGTAAATCTAGTTATTTATAGAAACTAGCTTTTTTAGAAACTACATGTACTTTTAGACAGAGTTTTATCAGTTTCAGAAGATGAAATTTCAAAAGGAACCAATGAACTTGCAAGTAATCATACTGTATCTGGCCATGCTTGTGGAACAAGGACAGCAAACATTATGCAACATAAAAACAGCATACTTATTTAATTCAATTTACATTTGGAAAATTTGACATTATAAGAAATTTGATATACATATATACATGTAAATGGTATTATGTCAGTAACTGAAATTGCGTAGAACTACAAAATTTTATTTTAGAAATGAAGATTTTTTTTTCAAAATTGAAAACTATGTTTTGTTTGCATTGTTTATATCCATTTTGGTTTTGGTTTCTTTCTCACATTTTTGGAGTTGATGTGTGATTGGGGTTATTCGATTTGGGTTCGGTGTTTTAGTTTGTCTCTTTGTGGGAGTTGTTTATGTGTGTTATGGTAGTTTTTTTGTCTTTGTTGGAGTTGTTAATGTCATTTGTGTGTTATGGTAGGTTTTCTTTGTCCAAAATTCAGGTCTTATTTCTGAATGGTTTGGGAATTCAATTGGTGGTCGATAAGACAGTTGATTTTTCGCTGGTACATTGTGATCGATTTGAAAATTTTGGATTTTGTTATACTAGTCGAATTATTATAATTCGTCATTTCTAATAGTTATATCAATTTCATTAGAAATGGAGGCACATTTATAGTTATATTGAATTTTTAGCTGTACAATAGCCAATTTTATATAATTATATTGATATTTATTATGAGTAATGTGATATTTTTGATAATTATATTAATATATAGGTGGAGAATGCGACAATATATTAAAGATAACATTGATTCTTTTAGATTTAGAATGTGACATTTTTAATAATGATATTTTGGTGTTGAATGTGACATTTTTCAGGCCTTGACACTAACTTTTTTAGCAAGTGGTAAGCCGGACCACTAGATTTGAAATTTAGGTGGTCCTTCCAGAAGTAAAGTGGTCAATTATTATTATTATAAACTTTCCTGCAAATTTAGAAGAAAAAAATATGCTTTAAAAAATTGATGACAAAGATTTTTTATTAATACCTTTAAAGAAAACAGGTGTTTTCAGACATATATATTTAATCTAATCAGAAATTAAGGAGAGCAAGTCAGTAGGTATTCTATCGTAATGTTATTTGGGTTTTTTAATCTCATTCAAAAATACAGAACAATGCTTTTATTTGTGTAAATTTTTATATTGAAGTGATTTCTCCCTCAACTCTGTCTGTTATTTGGATATTCATTGCTGATACGTGGTACGTCTTATTATCATGATAATTACTTGTATCTACTATAGATTAACATTTTTAAGAAAACTGATAAATAACCTTATTCTTGTCTTTGAAGACAAGGAAATATCGAAATATCTAAAGGATAAAAAATAATAACAACGTAATATATAACTATAGTTTAGCTTACTTTCTCACTGATTAATTAAGAATTCAGAATTTTTATCTCGTTGACATATATTTTTGTGACATTGAGTATTTCTAAACTTTTAAAGTAATTTTAACTCTGGAAGAAATAGATCTCTTATCGTTAAACAGTTAAAATAAAGATAAGTAGCAAATAATTATTAGATGTATTTGTCAAGTTCCTTTCATTTGCTGACATTATTCAAATATCTGAAATTTAATTTTATGCGATATCCTATACATGACTAGTATCATAATTAATCCAACGATGCATAATTTCTTGCATCATTTGAATGAACTTTGTACCTAAATCATTATCACTAATTTAACGTGCAAAAACAAAATTTTAGCGACTTAAAATGAAAGTTATCGATGACTTAAGAACTTAAACTAATCAGAGATTGATGAACCATATACATGTTCATCGGACAAATGATTTTAACAAAATGTATATAACATGTTTTTGACACAAATCACCATTCTCTTGCACGAACCAGAACATTCAAGTGGTCCGACGGACCAGTGGCTTTTAAAATTAGGTGGTCCTTGCCAAAATCAGGTGGTCTCGGACCAACGGACCACCGCTAATGTCGAGGCCTGTTTTTAACAATTATATATACCGATTATTTTAGATACAGAATGCGACATTTTAGACTAGTATAATATTATTGTTCTTTGGTTTTTCATTTGTTTTCAGATGGCGTAAGAAACCATCACTGGATTACGATTGAAAAACCAAAGTAGATAAAATCGTATATTTCTAAATATTATTACTATATATTTCAGACTATTGCTCGATTGATGGTAAAAAAAATGTTTATTGATCATTTTTTTTTTTTTTTTTTTTTAACATAACATACGTTTTATTGTAGTTAAAGGCCTCCGGCCCACGATACACATAATATTGTACATTTTTATGATAGTTCATTATTTACAAAATAAATGATGCATCAACAATATATAATTCATATACATAAAATATTATTCGTGATCAATACATAAGCGGTAATTATTTACGAATAAGTGAGTAACAAGAGTATTATTATCAACATTAACAATGCTGAATTTAAGAATGTGTTTTAAAGCACGGCAAAGGAACAACTTATTCGTGTTCTTTAAATACTGTTCACTGTATAAATTTGTTATGCATTTAACATCATCTAGTTCTTATTATCGGTTCCAGTTAGTTAAATTAGGATGTTCCAACATTTTTAATAAACATATTTCTAGTTTCCAAAGCTTTGTATATATAGTTTGCAAGAGCGAAAATGCCTCAAGAGCAAAGGAAAGTGTACAATATAGTGGGAAGTGATCTGAAAAGTCATCAGTTCCGACGCCGAAATCCGTTACAAAATCGAATATAGCCGTTGACGCTATGAAATAATCCACCGTACTTAGTCCGTTATTTGCCGTGCACGTGATTTCACCTTTAGTATCTTGAAATAATCGGCCATTTAGAGTATGCATATCTAAGGTGCAACACATTTCTATTAATGACTTACCAAACTTATTTATAGTACTGTCTTTATTGTTTTTATGCATTTCAAATGTATCTGCAGGGTAATCAGTTTCTCCGAATATGAAGTCTACTTCGTCATGAGGTATATAGTCTTTCAAATCACCAATTCGGGCATTAAGATCGCCCGCGACCATATAGTTAGCAGCGGGGTAATCCGTCATGATATTTCCTATATTGTTACTTAGAAGTTCAATGCCATCTGTGTCGATTGATTCGTAAATAGGAGATCTCTCCGGTGAAACATAAGCGAATATGATGATTAGATCTTTATCCATATGCCCAAGCGATCTCAAACGAAGAACAACACAGTTTTCGAAATGACTGTATAATCTCTCCACATAATTACTCAACCATTCTTTTATATAAACAGTAACTCCTCCAGACCCTCTTTTATTTTTACTTTTTCTAATATTGATATGTGCCATATAACCTGGAATCATAAAATGTTCGTCTGCACGAGTCCATGTTTCGCATAATGCCAAGATATCGTATTTTGAGCAAAAGTTATAAAAAGTCACGTCTCCATCATATTTATTTAATCCTTGTATATTAAGAGAACATAATTTCACATTTAAAACATCGCTATTTACAGTTGTGTATCGTGGGTCTTGGCCACTCTGCTATTTGCTAGCCTGCACGGGTTTCTTTTCAATTGGGTCAAATACGTACGACTCTCCATCAACTATGAGTTTATCATATTTGAAAAAGGCGCTCTTTCCATCTTCATAACATTGCTTTAGAAAAGGATATAGACCTGTGCGGGCCTTTGCTACCCTTTCAGGCAGGTCTTCAACGATTCTTCCTCGCACAATTTCATGTTTGCGTTTTTCCTTGTAAGCATTTAGAACTTTATCACGATCCGATTGTCGCGTGAACTTAACTAGCACGGCTCTCTCAGCTCGTCCCGGAAGTTTAAAGGCAGCATTTATATCTAATGAGTCTCCGTCTAAACCAAAATTATTTGTTAAATGTTGACGAACGCTTAATTCTACTTGATCCGGTTGAATATTGTCAATATTTTCGATTCCGTGGATTTTCAAATTGTTTTTTCGGATATGCATTTCCAATTTTTCGTGTTTAAGTTCGAGTTTCGAGTTTTGATCTTTAACAGCTTTTAAGTCATTGGACAAAGACTCAACTTTACTTGAAAGGATGACATTTTCCGCTTTTATTTGACTATTCTCGAGTTTTATTTCTTCGACCGATTTTTCTAACGTATCAAATCTTCTGTTGATTTGTCTTAATTCTGATCTGATATCTAGTAAAATAGACGTCACGTTCAAGTTTTCATCATTTTTTGATTGGGATGACTGTGAAGATACCGATGTTCCATCTGCAGTAGATGTTTTCTGTTGCGTAGCGTCTGGTTGTAGCCAAGGTACGAGAGACGCTTGACCAGAACTACGCGTAGAATACATATGCCCGGCATCATCTGTTACGCTACTCTGCGAAAGGTCGAACTCGTTTGTCGGTGTCGGTGGATGGGAAGAAGCAATGGATGATCGCCCACCACGACCGCCCCCGCGTGGTCTACCGCTTGTCGGTCCTGGATTTCGCTCAACGCATTGTGCCGTTAGAAGAAGAAAAAGCAGAATTCGTATGCATAATGATAAATAATGACTGGAGGCGGTAGTCGTTAGACAATTTTTTTTGTGACTGGACGGATTAATAAATGTCCCGATTCTTGCTCGCCATAGTCCGATCGTAATC